AAAGTCAGCCACTGTTTACACTGTTTCCCCATCTATTTGCCATGAAGTGATGGGACCGGATGCCATGGTCTTAGTTTTCTGAATGTTGAGCTTTAAGCCAACTTTTTCACTCTCCTTAGGACTTGAATATATCATTTGGACGAACACAATTCCACTCAACACCACCTAAAGCCCACTCTTCCTGGCAAGGTGGATTGCCACCCAAGGAAAAACCTTGCACAGGGTAAAGATCCTAAGAGAGAAAAACTGCTGTTCGCCAGAGTTCTAGAAGAAAAGGCACAAGGAAACTGGGACAGTGTATTTGGCGAATGACAAATGCAGTCACAGAATTTCTGTTTCTCCTCTAGACCTAAAGGACTTGAAAATTCTGTATTGGCCTTTCCAACTGTTTTGCTCATTAAAATGCTAATTCCTTTTGAGCTGGAAGTCTTCTTAAACCAGCAGACTGAAAAAGAAACAGCAGCTGTGGACACTGGACTTGCCCTTGGTTCATGGTTTTCCCTGAAATAAGGGCTGTCCGCAGAATCTGAAGCCAGACCTGAGAGGTTTAGTGCAGACATCTTTATTGGAAGTGGTTTCTAAACCTTGATGCTGGGGGTTTCCTGGACTCTGGATGTGCTGCCTGTGGTACATGGTGAACCCAGAACCACCTTCAACAGGCAACCCAACACCTCTCCTCTCAGTGAGAAAATTCTGGATCAGTATTTTGATCTTAGAAGTACAGCGTACTTAGAAGCTGTACAGAGTCTTAGAAGCCAACAGCACCTATACAGTATTGGTGGGAGTAAATGACTCAAAATAAGAAGCAGCTGTGACGTTAATGAAATGATCCTTACACTTGCAGGGATGAATCTAGATTCATTTTGTCACTTGAGACCTGTGTGATCTCAGATGAGTCACCTCGCCTTTCTGAGCCCTAGTTTCTTCTGTGTAAAATGATACCAATGATCTACTTCAAGTGCTAATTGTGATGATTAAATGAAATAATGGACAATTAGTCATCAAGTAAAATACCTAACCATAGTATATGGTGAAAAAAGTTTGCTACTCACTGTTGCTAATTTCATAGCTAAAATATGGAGCTGGGTGACTTGGCAAAGGAACCAAGGAGTGAAACCAAGTCTCCCAGTTTCAGATTCCATGCCCTCTGCACTGCCACATCCTGTGTTGAGAACACTGACATCCATATAAATGTTACTCTTGGAGCACGATTTCTCCTGCTTTATTGCAAGAGTCTCAGATTGCTGAAAGCATTCAGGAAAAAAGAAATCAGTGTTATTGGTGTGAACTGACTATTGTTATCTGGTTTTGGGGTGGCTGTTATCTGGCCTTGCAGAAGTACGGGATTCCATCTTTCCCAAGGTTCTGGGAGGGGTTTTTTTATTGTGTTTACATACACATAAAAGTTAGCACTTTTACAATGTATGCAACCATCACTACTATCTATCCCAGAACATTTTCTGCAATTTTTATTATACAAGAATTCTCTCCTCTTTGAAGGCTAATTACTGTAGACCAACTCTCATTTCTGTGGGTCTTCTTTCTCTAGTTCTGCGAGAGATGTACTAGTCTCCCCTTATGATTACACAATTTACCCCTTCTCACATTTCTCAGAGTTCTTCATATTTCATAGTTGGCATTTTTACAAAATTTGGGGACAGTCTTATCACCCAGAGTAGAACCTGGAACTTTAACTTAAAACATCCCATTCCCTATTTAATTTTTAAATATGAAATCCTAGTCTGATTAGCTTTCTTGACACAATCTGAGTCAAGAAAATTAGTTTGATCATTGATAGTTCTAGATGTGTTCTTTATTCCTCTTTTCTTGCTTTTTACCCCCTTCCCCTCCTGAACCCACTCAATTCCTACACTGATTTTGTCCATGCTGATTTTCCCTTTGATGTTTAAGGTGTTGGCCATCTAGTTTTTTCCTTTTAGCAGCTACTCTAAATGTTTTTAATACACTTCTACCCCTAGTAAACCAATAATTTGTGCTCAATTTCACTCCTTTTATCAATTCCTCCATCACTGACCACTCCCACACCCAGCTCCCATGTTGGGATCAGCTAAGATAGAAGAGATTCATTCATTCACTCAATGGGCATTTCACATACCCACAATGTGCTGGGCATAATCAAAGCTCTGAGAACAGAGCAGTGAAACTATCTCATACAAGTCCTACTTTCAAGGGGAAAGACCAAAAAAAAAAAAAAAAGCAGCAAAGACAGCTAAACAAACTGTGTTCTGTTAGGAGGTACACTCAGTGAGGGATGACGACATTGAGGAGGTGGCTTTTGAGTATTAAGGGGCCAGAGGAAGTGAGGGAGGGGTCCAGGCAGATGTGAGGGGGAAGAGCACCCTGGGCAGAGGTGGGCACAAGCCTGGCGGTGGCCCCAGTGGTCCAGGAGGGCCAGGCAGTTGATGTGCAGTGAATGGAGGAAGAAGTAAAGGGTGAGCAGAGACTGGGAACATTCCTTGTGCTGTCCTCTAGACATTTTTCAGCTCACCTCCCACTCTTGAGTTCCACTCTTGAGCTGGTCTATTTCATCTGCCCACTGAGGTTTTAAATTCCAAGATCTGTAATTGCTGTGTTTTTTTTTTTTTTTTGGTCCTGGATATAATATCATCTTTTCCCCTGAATTTAATTACACTTGTTTTATAGGATTGTTTGCTGTACTGACTCATTATGGAGGTTATCACCTCTTCCCTTATAACATTTCCTTTATTTTTGTTATGAGTTTTACTTGTGAGTTTATTTTTGTACTAGGGAGCTCATGTCTGCTATTAACTGCCTCAAATGACTGTGGGGACAAAAGAATGTCATGGAGAGGCGGCTGCTGCGAGCTTGTCTTATTCACAAAGGCCTGGCCCCCCAGACCCCCTGCCTATCTAGGGGTCCACACTCTCTCAGCTTGAGTTTCAACCCAAGAGCTGCAAGGAGATCAAACCGGTCAATCTCAAAGGAAATCAACCCTGAACATTCATTGGAGGGACTGATGCTGAAGCTGAAGCTCCAACACTTTGGCCACCTGATGCAAAGAGCCAACTCATTGGAAAAGACCCTGATGCTGGGAAAGATTGAGGGCAGGAGGCAACAGACGATGAGATGGTTGGATGGCATCACTGACTCAACGGACATGAGTTTGAACAGACTCAGGGAGATAGTGAAGGACAGGGAGGTCTGGCGCGCTGCAGTCCATGGGGCTGCAAAGAGTGGGACATGACTGAGCAGCTGAACAACAAGCACATCTTAGTATACTCTCACTTTCATGAATTTATTCTTTCCTTTCCCAAACTACCCTTCTTGTCACACATCAATTTCAAGGAGGTAGTTCTCTCAGACAATGCAATTCATTCCCACCAGAGAAACAATACATGCATTATGAATTTTATTTATAAGGCTGGAACAAACAAGAATGTTATTTTTTTTTCAACTTTAAATTAATGAATAAAATGGGAAGAGCAGCCCAGAAACCGCCATTTATGAAAGACTCAAGAAGGTAGAACTCAAGAAGTAAGTTTTTATTCCAAAATAGGAATAATGACATATACAAAGTGATCGTTTTTTAGAAACATTGATCTAAATTTTTTTATACTCGTGGACTATTTTTTTTCCTCAGGGAAGAAAAGATTGACATTAACTCTTTGGCATCATCTTTGAACATAATTCCTTCTCGGATTAGTATCCATTAGAGTGCTTATAAACGTCTAAGATGGATGGACAAGAGTGCATTCTGCTGATTCATTTCTGAGGACTTTTCAACTTTTCCTCTGGCTACAGGCCACTCCATAAACAGTGTGGTGAGGCGGGGAGACGGACCCCGGAGTCTGCTCTGCTTCTCTGCAGCTGTGTGATCTTGGGGAGATGTACTGTTTGCATCTCAACTGGCTCATCTTTCAAATGGGAAGAAGGATTCCACAGCACAAGGCTGCTGGAAAGGGTAGGCAAGACTTTGTGAAAGCACCTGGCCCCGGGCCCAGCCTCTGGGGGGCACCCTAACATGCTGGTTTAAAAAATATTCTGGCAGGCAAGGCAGAGTATGGGTATCACAGTACAACCCTGTTACTTTGTCTGTCCCCTTCCTCTCTGGACGGGGACCAAACATTCAGAAGAGAAGACAAGCAATTCAGGGAGCTAAAAATTGAGCTTCAATAAATTAGAGTCAGAAGTCTAGTTCTTATCAACTATTTTCCCTATCACTTTGGTTGTTTTCACTGTTTGTTTCAAGTAAGACGTTTGGCTCTTTCCTTTGTAAGGCAAATTCTGTTTCTCAAGGTCAATCTCTGCAACCCTAATTTCCTTCCTGCAACCCCTGTAGTTTTTTTTTTTAAAGTTTCTTTTCACTTTTGCCCTTTCTAAGAGGTAGGGTATTTACCCTATACTATTTTAATAGAATCGTATTTGCTCTGAAGTGAAACTATTTGTTTTACTTTATTAAATTTGATGCCTTTGGGCTAGTTTCTAAAAGAGTAAACTTACACAATCGTAATTAAGTGAACCTACTTCATTTTTCCTTGTGTCCAGCCTTTAGGTTAAAATGGTCTTTTGGACTATTGCTCTGGAGTAGGTTAGAGGGAAACCTACTTAGCCAACATCACATCCATCATCTGAAATGCTGGCATCTCTACAAGCTAACCCAAAAGGGACCCTTCAGAACTAAGAGGAAAGTCAAGTTTGTCCAAGTGTGTCCATGGAAGCATATGGATGACGTGACAGTTAGGCAAAACTTTGTTCTTCATAAAATGGACTTCGATACAGGCCTGGGCAGTGGGGTCTGGCCCAGAACCTAGGAGTCTGGGGTTGGAGTTCTTGCTCACCATCCACTCGTCCCCGTTGCTCTCAGTAAGTCTCCGTGCATCTCTGGGACCTAAGGTTCCCTGGCACCTACCGTGAAGGTGTGGTCTACAGACACCTCTGGGTCCTGTCCCAGTCCAGATGCCCCAGGGTTGTAATTCTTCCTTTAGCCTCAGCAGCCTGAGGTTGGGCAGGCTCCACCCTCAGATGTGCCGTCCGGTCAGGAAGAAGAGCGGCCGGTCCTCCTTGGCGTTGGCCGTCTGGAATTCGTCTCGCAGCCGAAACTGCCACTCGTCTTCCAGCTCCAGGCGGACGACTGTCTGGCGGAGCGAGTTGCGGTCCTGACAGATCACACACAAGGTGGCACCTGTGAGGACAACGGCAGAGGTGTGTGAATGGAACAGGGGAGTTTCTGCGCAGGAAAGCTCCCGCCTGCTGCCGTTTGCCAGAACAAAAGGCAATGCTACTTTTGGAAGGGAAGGACCAGATGTCCAAACGAGTGCCCATTTCCAGGGGCTGCTTCGCCATCTTAGCCAGACGGTGAGCATGTGTCTTGGCAGGTCTGGCAGGTAAGACAACACGGAACCAAGAAATGATGGCAAAGAAGCGAGCAGACGGGGAGAAGGAGAGACTCTTAGGATCACAAACCAGCATCCTCAGCTCCAGCCCCCGGTGGGAAACACCCTGCCCCATAGCCTAACCCTTCCCTCTTCACCCATCGCAGTCATCCACCCGCCCAGGCCCCATGCACCTCCTGCCTCTCCTCCTGCCTGGCAACGTGAATTCTCCCTCAACACCTAGCGCACATCAATAATCATGGGTGTCCATTCCGTCTACCCCCCTATCTCCACGTCCTATCCTCCTATTAGACAACATGTTTCCCAGGAGCACAGAATGTTGTGGAAACCTCTGACTATTTCCCCAAAGCTTATGCAACCCCGGTGCTCACTCACACCTCACAGAGAGGAAGGTGGGTGTCACGGCCAACCAAGAAAAAGTGAAGATCAATTAGGGATCCCAGCTGGATTGCAAATAGTGTTTTTAAGTCATACTGAAATGAACATTTCCCACTCTTAACCACTCTAGCACGAAAACACCTATAGAGGGAGAAAGATTAGAAGAAAAGTAAAGATGCACACAGCAGCCTAAGACAAAGAAGAACTCATCCACCAAGAAGAAAAAATGTCTAGGGGGTCTGCATGCTTAAGCTAAGAGCCTGGCCTGAAAAGCAGCAGAAAAGCTGAAAATATCTGCTGGTCACTGGGAAGAAAGGGGATGTGTCTTATCTCTGTGCAAACAGGTAGAGAGGAAGAACCACCCTGGGATCCCACCCCAGCTTCCTTGTGCCTCCCTGGAGCGCCGGGGAAGTCACATGCCCGGAGTCTCAGTTTTGTGGTTGTTGTTTAGTCACTCAGTGGTGTCTGACTCTTCGCGATCCCGTGGACTGTAGCCCACCAGGCTGCCCTGTCCATGGGATTCTCCAGGCAAAAATACTGGAGTGGGTTGCCATGTTCTCCTCCAAGGGATCTTCCCAACCCAGGGATCAAACCCGTGTCTCCTGCACTGGCAGGCAGATTCTTTATCACTGAGCCGCCAGGGAAGCCTGAGCCTCACTTTACTCATTGGCAAAAAGGACAAGGACCAGATTCACCTCCACAGAGGTGCCAGTGATGATAGCCATTCAAGTCAAGGTCCCCCGTAAGAGCACGAGAATTTACCTTTCAGAAAGTGAAACTTTTTCAAAAAGCTAGCTCCCACAAAAGAGTCACAGAGGTACAGCAGGAGTCCACTGAACACGAAGTCAGAGCAGCTGATGTTTAAAGAGTGGGGCCTGGAGCTCACATAACACACAGAGATCTGGGGGATAAAAAAAAAAGGAATCCATGAGAAAATGCCATTTTCCATGAAACACTCCACAGCACTGTGCTAGAGCTTTGCATCTAACACACACTAACTGCCAGGTCAAGCTCAGGCTTGGAGGACCAAAAACAATATTCAGTGTCATTTTCAAATCTTATGTTCTAAACATCAACCCCAAGACTTACCCAGATATATCTATTCATTACCTCATTTGAGAGTCATAAATGTTCTGGCATGAGTAGTAAGTTTGATTCCTAACTTTCTATGTCAGGGCATGTGTGCTAAGTCACTTTAGCTGTGTCCGACTCTTTTCGACCCCATGGACTGTAGCCCGCCTGGCTCCTCGGTCCATGGGATTCTCTAGGCAAAAATACTGGAGTGGGTTGCCATGCCCTCCTCTAGGGGATCTTCCCGGCCCAGGGATCGAACCTGCATCTCCTATGTCTCCTGCACGGGCAGGCAGGTTCTTTACCACTGAGCCACCAGGGAAGCCCCTTGATATGGGGGTGCACTGTTTCAATTCTTTCAGCCTTTAGCTTATCGGCTGTAAAGCGGGGGCCAGGCCGGAGCTGACGCAGTTGGGGGGCTATAATTCCAAGCTCTGGGTTCTAACTCCCGTGTTGAGGGACTTCTCTGATTGATGGACTCGACAGCGCCCCCCCTCAGACGGTTACCTGAGACCCCAGGTTCAGGTAGCAGTCCACGGACAGCACAGGGTGGCCGGGATTCTTCAGGGACAGCGGGAAGAAGCGGTGGCTGTGGTGCTGGAGGAACTTCTCCAGGAGGAGCTGCGCGGGGGCCGCGAGGAACGTGTGCTTACTGTCGGGGGCGCAGATGTACTGGGCGGGCACGACGGCCATGGGGCTGTCCGACACCTGTGTGGGGACGGGCGGGCGTCAGCCACTCTTGGGGACCCAGCGCGGGCCTTCCCAGTGTGGATGGCTGTGTGCAGCTGTGATGCAAGAACACATACGTCCACGGTGAAGCTCTCCACTAAGGGAAATCTGGCTTAACTAAAGTGGACGTGTGAAAACTGACCACGGGATCAGTGATTGTAGACAATGACCACTCTGGGAAGAGACATGGCTGTCTGGTCTAGAAAAAAATAAGAGAACCCATGGACCCAATGTTCCCCCAAATCCTGAGATGTCAGCCTTTGGGAAGGGCCAGCCTTCCCCCTGACCTCCAGATCCCCTCTGTCTCCTGTCCAGTCCCACTGGTCTTCCTCTTGATGGCCCAGCCCTCTGAGCCCACAGTCTCTTATTTCATCACCAACATATTTCCCAGGCTGGAGCCAGACAGACTGGGGACATACATAAGACAACTCAAGTCCTCTGACGGACACCTTTCAGTGGGTGCTCATTACTCCTGAAGTCAAGAACGTTCCCACGGCAGAAAAGATCCTGCCTACTTCTCCAGCTCCTCTCCGCCACTCTCTTCCATGGATCAGAGGGACCTTCAAGGCAGGGGTGTGCCAATGACCTGTGGGTTCCTGGAGGATACAGATCGCCGAGGACACATCTCCCTCCACCTGGAGGCTGTCTCCAGGGCAGATGGCACACACATCAAGCTAGCCTGTCAGTCCCATTCAGACAGTATTTAGCAGGCGCTGTTCCAGGGACCCTAAGAAGAGCACGGTACCACATCTGACCCCCAAGGGCTCTGCCCAGCAGAAAAGCCAGACAAGTGAGCAGCAAAGACACTGATGGAGACGTGCTCAAGAAACCACGTGGAGAGAGAGCGTGGGATTGGGGGGTGGAAGATGAGGGCAAGGGTGCACAGAAAGGCTGGTGGTGGGCGTGCACCAGGGAGACACACGCACGCGCGCACACACACACACACAGAACCGGAGATGAGAAGGGAAACTCGATAGAGTCTTTCCCTTCTCAGGGCTCCCAACTGGCAACTCTCATTAGCACTGCCCAGCCGTCAAGCCCACCCCGCTGACTCAGAGGTGCCCGGGTGGCCTCCCGGCCAGCTTTCCCACCACGGGCAGCAGCTGTCTCCGGGCACACGGCCGCACCCACCTTGGACGTGATGTGGAAGGACCTGTGCCCACCCACCGCGATCTGCTTCTTCATCACGCTGAAGCGGTTGAACCGGCAGAGCAGGAGGCCCGCGCTGTGCACCCTCAGGTTGAAGTCCACGTCGTCACACATGAACCTGGCGGGAACCAGAGGAGGGGGGCGGGTCGGCCTCCAGGCAGCTCACAGTCACGCCTCCACCAGACACCCCCATACCGGGGGCTGGGCAGACAAGCAGGCTTGTTCCTGCCCCCAAAGACCTTCCCCGGGAGGCACAGCAGGCAAGCCAAGAAGGAGACAAGCTGAGATGCCCCCGCACCAGGAAGGCAGGGTGTTCTCAGGCTTTACTACAGAAGCCCTGCCACATGTGGACCGTGCACGCCACGCCAGGCACCGTGAAGGGGACTTAACAAACATCACTTCATCCATCCATTAAAAAGAAAACAACTGACCTCCCAGAATAAATATATTGCTTCCCTAGTGGCTCAGATGGTAAAGTGTCTGCCTGCAATGTGGGAGACTGGGGTTTGATCCCTGGGTTGGGAAGATCCTCTGGAGAAGGAAATGGCACCCCACTCCAGTACTCTTGCCTGGAACATCCCATGGACAGAGGAGCCTGGTAGGCTATAGTCCATGGGGTCGCAAAGAGTCAGACACGACTGAACATGACACCCCACGCCAGGAACCATGAAGGGGATTTAACAAATGCCACCTCATCTGTGTGTTAAAAAGAAGACAACTGACCTCCCAGAGTAAATAAATGAGCCACTGTTACAGCTGAGGAAATCAAGACTCAGAGATGGTCAGTCATCTGCCTAAATTTCAAAGCTGACAAATGGCCGAAGCCACATTCCTGGCAGGTCAGTCTGCTCCAAAACAGACACTCCCCTGCGGGCACTCTTGGGGACGTGCCCACTGCCTGGCAGGTAGAGGGCTCGCTAACATTAGCGACTGGATTCTTCTTGAGACATGAGCACTCCTGCGGCTAGATCCAGAGACAGGGACACAAGGAAATTATCATTTCCTTCAGCACTCAAGCTCCTAGAAAGTAATGTGTTCACAGAAGGAGCCAGAAAAGCAAGAGAAACACCACCTAGAATGGAAGTCATTAAATAAGGTACCATGTGAACTGGTGAAGGAAGCTGAATGGTCTTATGCAAATCTCCCCTAAAATTATGCAACAAAAATAGTAAAAAAAAAAAAAACAAAAAAAACCCATGAGGACTGAAAGCAAGGGGCCAGGCCAGGGCCATGGGTGGGAAGGCCTTGCAGGGCAAGGAAGGAGCAAGGGCCCTCCAGGAGTAAGGCTTCTCCTTGCAAAGGGCCCTGGGACCATGGGACTGAGCTGATGGACGTGGTCGGGCACAGGGCCCTGGGACCGCGAGCTGAGCTGATGGCTGTGGTCGGGTGGGGGACCCTGGGACCGTGGGCTGAGCTGATGGCCATGGTTGGGCACAGGGCGCTAGGACCGTGGGCTGAGCTGATGGCCATGGTTGGGCACAGGGCGCTAGGACCGTGGACTGAGCTGATGGCCACGGTTGGGCACAGGGCGCTAGGACCGTGGGCTGAGCTGATGGCCACGGTTGGGCACAGGGCCCTGGGACCGTGGGCTGAGCTGATGGCCACGGTTGGGCACAGGGCCCTGGGACCGTGGGCTGAGCTGATGGCCACGGTTGGGCACAGGGCGCTAGGACCGTGGGCTGAGCTGATGGCCACGGTTGGGCACAGGGCGCTAGGACCGTGGGCTGAGCTGATGGCCACGGTTGGGCACAGGGCCCTGGGACCGTGGGCTGAGCTGATGGCCGTGGTTGGGCACAGGGCGCTAGGACCGTGGGCTGAGCTGACGGCCACGGTTGGGCACAGGGCCCTGGGACCGTGGGCTGAGCTGATGGCCATGGTTGGGCACAGGGCGCTAGGACCGTGGGCTGAGCTGACGGCCACGGTTGGGCACAGGGCCCTGGGACCGTGGGCTGAGCTGACGGCCGTGGTCGGGTGGGGCTCACCGGTTCTGGTTGTACTGCACATTCTGGGTCAAGTCCACGTTCAGGACGATGAAGTCGTGCACATGGCATCGGGAGAAGGGCTCGCGCACCTCACGGCTCCCGGTCTTGCTGGACCACTTCCGCATGCCGATCAGGGCATAGTGGGTGATGTTGGGGGACGCCTCGATGTGCTGCATGATGTGCTTCAAGGACACATTTCTCTCCGACCAGGAAAATTCTCTGCTCAAAGGAGGGAGACGGACATTCCCAGGTCTGCATGCAGACTGGGCCGGCCAGGCCACTGCTTTCCCTTGAACATGCCAGGTGGGCTGGTGTGCCCAGAACCCATCACAGCCACCAGGCACTTCGAACTCATTATCACTGATCCTCGCAGCAATCCTGTGACATAGAACCATCATCCCCATTTCACAGATGAGGAAAAAGAGGCTCTGGCTGACTTGCCAGTGTCACTCAACAGAGCTCAGGTGGAAGGGTGTTGTCTGTCTCCAGAGCCCATTCTCTGCACCACGCCACAGCACCTCCCATTTCTGGTAGCAATTCCAAGGAGGTTGGGGGGAGGGAAGGAGGCCGCATGTAAACACCTCCCACCCCACCCTGATGGCGACTGAGGTCTGGGAAGACAGTGAAGGCCCCCTGACGACCAGGGAGGGCAGCCGAAGGGAGTGACCCCGGGGCTGGTAGCCCAGGCAACAAGAGTTCTGTGTGTGAGAGACCCAGTAAGTGGCTCAATGTCTCTGCATCTCAGCTTCCTTTCCCCCAGCCGAGGGGCTTCGCTAAGCTCCCGAAGGCCTCAGCCAGCTCTGACACACCAGGACTTGAACATTCTGCTTCGGAACGAAATTCAGAAAAGCAGAGGGGAAAAGCTTAGTTCTCTTCCTCATCGCTGTCCTCAGCCAAGCTCTTGCCCTCGGAAGGGTGACAGTGAGAATATTGAAAGCACAGCGGCTTGCTGTTGTCATGTCTGTGAGCTCTATCAGACCGAACACATTTGTTTCTAGAAGAACAGTGGAGAGGATGGAAGTTGCTACACTAGTACTTAGGACTCACTAACACAAAAGAGAGGAACTAACCTCACATCGTCTTTCAAAAAAAAAAAAAAAGCCAAGCATTCAAGTTGTTTCTCAAATAAGCCAAAGATAACGGCTAAGTTGAAATACTTGTGCCAAAAAACCACACAGAGGTATCTTCCCAATGATGCTCAGATGCAGCTCTACCTACTGTGCCTTTTCTACCTCGTGCCGCTCCATCACCCCCCTCCAGGCACACAACTCACAGTTTACCTAATCCTCGTAACAAACCTCTAGGACAAGGGCAAGGGCCCCTTTGAAAGGTGATGAGTCTAAAACCCAGAAAGAGTCATTTCCCAAACATCACACAGCAAATAAAAATACAGCTTCATGTCAGGAGGAGGCTGGGGTGGGGAAAAGGTTCTAGAAGGTGTAGGGGAGGGTGCATCGGTGATGGTGATGGTCCATTTCTTCATCAGGGGGTTTGTTAAGTGGGTGTGTTCATACCTGGATACGTATGACACTTTCTTTTTCCAATCTATTTTATACTGAATCTATGTTGCATAATTTTCTGTCTCTACTGTGTCTCAGTAAAATGTTTTCAATTAAAAACTCAAAAGCTTGGCAGGTGAGCCCACCCCAGGCAGGGCTCTGTCCACCGCACACCACATCTTCTAACAGGAGGCGCCCTCCAGGGTCCTCAAAGGATGGACAAGAATCCCCCACTGGGCAGAGCGCCTGCTCCCTTGTCTCACTGGGGTGCCGTCAGGAAAAGGGCTCTCACCTGCTTCTCTCACCCCCACCGTCGATGTCCACCACATTCCACATCACACAGGAGTCATCAGAAATCACAATGAAAGGCCAGATGTCCTGCGGCTTGATTCCCAGCTCCTCCTGACGGTTCCGCTCCAGCTCCAGGTTGTGGTAAGACAGCTCCTTGATCAGGAAGTGGGCGGCGCCTGAAACGAGCAGACAACCCCGACTCAGGTCAGTCTGAGTGCCCACCCCCACCCAGGACAAAGCCCCGTTGAGAACGAGAATTTGAAAGCCCACCCAGACCCCAGCCCTACCTGCTCTTATCTGCAGTCCTTATCCACTCGCTAGAGGCTATTGACTTGGGAGAGGAAATTCGAGGGCAGAAAACACTCCCCTCCCATTTGTGCACACATCTCTCTATTTATCTTTGCTTTTCTAACAGCCGAGACCATGAATAAACCAATAACCGAGCACTGAAGAAAAGAAGTCAACAAATCAAAATAGCTTTAAAAGCCAGAAAGCTGAAAGAGAAAGGTCTTTTGATTCTATGCAGACAAAAACCGTCTCTCACCATCTGCCTCTACAAGGATGAGACCACTAGTGGCCACCTTCAACACACCCTGAAAGCAGTTCAGGGTGGAGAATGAGGCACTCTGTGCTCTGGGAAAAACCGGCAGAACAGGCCTTCAGATCATGAGATATTTTTCAGGAGAAGATTTTATGAGCCCAGTTTCGTGCACTGTCTCCTATCTAAAAAAGCACTAAAATCCTTAACGGAGACACCTGCTGTCCGTGACCAGCATCATCCTTCTGGTGACCAGCAGCATCCCTCCACTGATATGTGTGCCTGATGGCAGTTAACCTCCTTCACCAAAATCACATATACACTGACCTCTCCCCCATTTTGGGAGCAGTTCCTCGGAGCTATCTGAGAGGCTGTCTCCCAGACTCTGGTCCTCATTTTGCCCCCAATAAAACTTTACTTACAATTCTCTCATTGTGCTTTTTTTTCAGTCAACACCTAGAAGACTCTCTCAAATCTCCATTCACAGAAATTTGAGTAGGGCGTGTCTTAAAGGGTCTATCACCAAAGAATTCAAGTGACAGGTTATCCCAGAAAACCTGCAGTTAGTGAAATTAGGATATAACACTGTGGGAAATTCTGAAAGAGATGGGAATACCAGACCACCTGACCTGCCTCTTGAGAAACCTGTATGCAGGTCAGGAAGCAACAGTTAGAACTGGATATGGAACAACAGACTGGTTCCAAATAGGAAAAGGAGTACATCAAAGCTGTATATTGTCACCCTGCTTATTTAATTTATATGTAGAGTACATCATGAGAAACACTGGGCTGGATGAAGCACAAGCTGGAATCAAGATTGCCAGGAGAAATATCAATAACCTCAGATATGCAGATGACACCACCCTTATGGCAGAAAGTGAAGAAGAACTAATGAGCCTCTTGATGAAAGTGAAAGAGGAGAGTGAAAAAGTTGGCTTAAAGCTCAACATTCAGAAAACTAAGATCATGGCATCCGGTCCCATCACTTCATGGCAAATAGATGGGGAAACGGTGGAAGCACTGTCAGACTTTATTTTTGGGGTCTCCAAAATCACTGCAGATGGTGATTGCAGCCATGAAATTAAAAGACGCTTACTCCTTGGAAGGAAAGTTATGACCAACCTAGACAGCATATTAAAAAGCAGAGACATTACTTTGCCAGCAAAAGTCCATCTAGTAGTGAAGGCTGTGGTTTTTCCAGTAGTCATGTATGGATGTGAGAGTTGGACTATAAAGAAAGCTGAGCGCCGAAGAATTGATGCTTTTGAACTATGGTGTTGGAGAAGACTCTTTAGAGCCCCTTGGACTGCAAGGAGATCCAACCAGTCCATCCTAAAGGAGATCAGTCCTGAATATTCATCAGAAGGACTGATGTTGAAGCTGAAACTCCAATACTTTGGCCACCTGATGTGAAGAGCTGACTCATTTGAAAAGACCCTGATGCTGGGAAAGATTGAAGGCGGGAGAAGGGGACAACAGAGGATAAGATGGTTGGACGGTGTCACCGACTCAATGGACATGAGCTTGAGTAGATTCCAGGAGTTGGTGATGGACAGGGAGGCCAGGCGTGCTGCAGTCCATATGGTCGCAAAGAGTTGGACACAAATGAGTGACTGAACTGAACTGAACTGATTAAGAATATCCAGGGTCTTCCCCGGTGGCTCAGTGGTAAAGAGTCCACCTGCAATGCAGGAGACGCAGAAGACTTAGGTTCAACCCTTGGGTCAGGAAGATCCCCTGGAGGAGAGCATGGCAACCCACTCCAGTGTGCATGCTTGGAAAATCCCACGGACAGAGGAACCTGAGGGCTACAGTCCATGGGGTCGCAAAGAGTGGAACACGACTGAAGCCACTGAGCACATGCACACACAAGAACATTCAGAAGAGCACACACACAGTTTGGTGGTCTTGGTGCAGTGGTGGGACAGCAGTTATTATAGAATGAATGTAATTAATATGCACACACCTGCTGGAGGGGACTAAGGGGAAACAGGTGTTCGGTCTAGAAAAACATTTCTCAGTGGACTTCCTATGAAGTCAACGTGTCTTGAATTTAACTTTGCAACAAATTTGGGGGGAAAAAAAAGGCCTACCAACTCCAGCGCTGTTGAAGATGCTGGGGAGGACCAGCATGATATGGTTGGGCCAGTATTTCTTGTAAATCGCCATCTCGTACTCCTTGACAACCAGCACGTGCAGGTGGCTGGCACCGTCCATCGCGTGGTACAGGTTAAAGAGTCCGTGCTCGTGACGGCCAGTTGTGGGAGTGAACGTCGGGCTCTTTATGTATTCGTGACTCTGGAGAGCATGGGTACAGAGACGTCAAGCGTTTGTCAGCCTAGCCACGAAGACTGCCCGCCCTCCTAGATGGGACTCTGCAGCCTGCTCCATCTGAGGATGGTGCCTGTTTCCACACGCCTTGCTCTGGCCGAGCCTTGGGACTTGCTTTTATGGATGAAATGCAGTAAAGATGGTGGCGTGCCAGCTCTGAGCCTGGCCTCCAGAGGCATTCTGTCCTCTCTCAGAACCCCCCACCCCTAGGAGAAGCCCGGGCTAGCCTGCTGGACAAGGGGAGGCCACAGGAGCAGACACGGGCGTCCCGCTGAGGCCACCACAGTCCAGCCCCACCACCAACCTGGTAACTCACTTTAAACACAAGGGATGGCAACCAGGATAGCCACCCAGCAGAACCAAGCCCAAACTGCCAGTGCACAGAATACAAAGCGAAATAAATGCTTGTTTGAGAATGGTTTGTAAGGTGAGCAAAACTAATGGGCTTATATCCGTGACCCAAATCCACGACCCTCACCTATTGGCGCCTAATACACGTTGAGTGCACATTATTCCTGTGTGACTTAAATCCCTCCATGTCTGAGCCATACAGCCTAGCTTCTTATTCACTCAGGCTGTGAATCTTCTATATAAACAACTGTTTTCTTTCACTCTTTTCTCAACAACCAAGCTAGGTCTTCCATTCCTTCTTGATTTCTCAAGGCACTTGCCACAAAGCTGTGCGCTGAGCTGGCGCTCCTAACCAGTTCTGATGGGGACCATCAAGAAAACAGAGTAGAGTAACTAATACGGCTCCGTCACCCTCTAATAAAGGGCCGCACTACCCCTTCACAAAGGTTTTCACTGCTTGATAATAGCCCCTGGGTCTGCAAGGCTGAGTCCCAGGGCCGCAGGGCCAGTACCTTGTCTGTGACGAGGGGCAGTCGCATGCTCTCCAGCTGGCCTCCAGGTTGGCTGAAGACAAAGTGGTGCTCCTTGGACTTGGGGATGATGAAGTGGAGCTGGATTTCCTCTCCTAGCATGGAGTAAGAGAAGGCAAAGGCGTGCAGGGTGGACTCATAGAGCTGGGGTGCGAGGGGGAAAGGACAGAGCTTGTCATCAGAGTCCGGCCTGACCTCCCGGAAGAACCCAGGCCTGCTGCGGCCATGACCACACACAGGCCACCGCCACTGCCACCCCAGCTGATGCCAGTTCATAGCATGGACACCCAGGCCTCACGAGTGTGCACCCCAGGCCACACCTGACTGGCCAGAGGCTCCCATCCTGGTGCTGACCCCTCAGTACCCAGGGGATGCCTCTGTAGCTGCTCGGCCTTTCTGGACTCTGGATTAGACCCAGAGGCATGCTGGGGCACCAAAGCCTCCATGCTCCAGGTCACATTTTTAATTTCAAAAAAGATTATTTTCCCATTACAGCTAATCTGTGTAATAGCAGAAGACAATAAATAACTGTATAAACTTGTGCGTGTCCGTCTCACGCACCACATCCAAGACTCAGGAACCAATGAATATTCCTAGGTCCTCACTCCCGTGGTGGACATCCAGAGGTCTTGGGCTCACTCCCATCCCTAAGTCTAGCCTCACCTCCAGTCATTTTGTCTAAAGAGTCCTCCCATTACCCAGTCACCGTGCCCACACTGCTCCTGGTGTGATCTCCCAGCCCGGCGAAGCCCAGGCCAGAGGTATGCCTCCTCCAGGCCTCGGCTCTGGCGTCCACAGCAGGGCCTCACCGGCCCCTCTCCCTTCAGCTGCCCCTGCAGAGGCACAGCTAGTCTGTCCCACGCCTTCCCTGGAGTCACGGGGACCAGGGCAGGGCTGACATGGGCCAGGACGTGCTGGCTGTGACGTCTGACGCACTGTGGCTCTGCTTTGAGAGCCGAGATGAGGGAGAAACAGCTGACCAGGGGAGAGAGCAAAGAGGGACATAACTGAGGAATTTCCTAAGACCGCCTCCCAGGGGAACCTTGAGCAATGAGGAGCAAGAACCAAACAGCAGAGGCAGTGCCCTGTCAGCAGGGAGTCAGCGTGTGCCCCTGTGTCCTCAGGGGCCTGGTTTCACACCCCTGCAAAGTGTGGCCCCAGACCCGACCTGCCTACACAGAGGCTGGCCCTGGGGTTGGAACTCAGACCTGCCTCCTCTCCCTTCTCCTCCAGGCTCCATCCACTCATTCACTGCAGACCCTGAAGCAACCAGGCACTGAACCCTTCAAGTCTCTGCATTCTTTACATTTCAAGATCAAGAAAATGTTTTCACTTGTATTTTTCTCTGCCTTGAAAGAAAAACTTCATCTCCAAGGGAAGAAATGTTAGGAGGCCATGGCTGATTCATGTCAATGTGTGACAAAAACCACTACAATATTGTAAAGTAATTAGCCTCCAACTAATAAAAATAAATGAAAAAAAAAAAAGAAATGTTAGGAGGGTTTATCTGCAGCAAATAGGATTTCTGATCATTTTTAATCCTTTGAAAAACCACTCATATGTATTTTCTAATTTTGTCTAGAGCACAATTGCATCATTTGAAAAAAATCTGTGCTTAAAGGAGACAGATGCTACTTCAGTAGCAGCTAAGCTCAAGGCCGGGCAGATTTGGGAAAATGAAAGCTACCATCTTCTGTTTCCCTCTGCAAAGGGGACAGACAGAGGAAGCTGGCACCCTTGTCAACCTTCAGGCCTTTCTGGGGCGGCTATGGACTGGAAGAGCTGGCCTGCACCCCTGGGTGCTGCCCAGCTATCTGTCTCCCATCAGCTCCGGCTGCCCTTGACTCCTCTTTCCTTGCCTGCATCTGAAATGAAAAGACATTCTAAGTGTAAAATCCTACCCTCCATCTGTTTCTAGATAACCAGCCCACAGGCCCCCAGAAACCTCCACAAGGCTGTGTTTAGTCGCTCAGTTGTGTCCAACTCTTTGCGACCCCATGGACTGCAATTCACCAGGCTCCTCTGTCCATGGGATTCTCCAGGCAAGAATACTGGAGTGGGTTGCCGTGCCCTCCTCCAGAGGATCTTCCCAACCCAGAGATCGAACCCGGGTCTCCCATACTGCAGGCAGGTTCTTTTACTGTCTGAGTCAGCGGGGAAGCCCAAGAATACTGGGGTGGGTAGCCTTTCCCTTCTCCAGGGGATCTTCCTGACCCAGGAATCGAACCGGGGTCTCCTGAATTGCAGGCAGATTCTTTACCAGCTGAACCACCAGGGAAGCCCCTCCACGGACTAGTAAGAGACTATTCAAAACTGGTGGATGTTAATTAACTCAACTTATTGTGCCAATCATTTAGCAAAATATACATATATCAAATCATTATGTTGTCTACATTAAACTTACACAATGTTATTGGTCAGTTATATCTCAAAAAACTGGAAAAATTGTTCATTTTCTTATCAAGTGTTCATTGACTGAAAAAAAATCAATTTAAAAAATAGAAAAATAAAAAAATAAGAAGAAGGAAATACCCCCTCCCAAGGTAGCTTTGCCCCATCAGGCCTCAGCTAAAAGTTCTCACTGCAAAGGCCCCATTCCTCCCCACAGCACGGATGACTCTGTGGTCTGTCTCTGCCCACCCACCCAGCCTCCTGTCCTGGGACCAGCCTTCATTCTAAGCTCCATCAACACCCACTAAAGTCACTTCTGATTCCTCTAGACACCCCTGTCTCCCTGCTATTGCACTTGCCATTCGCTCCTTCCCCCTCACTTCTGTCCACCTTGGCTCCTTGGCAAACTCTTACTGATCCTTCAGAATCTTCTTCCCTGCTCCCTGCCCAGTATCATATCTTCATTTATTAAATGGGGATGATGCTATAGCCTTGTGGGGTTTTAATGAGAATTAAAGAAGAAACTCAACAGCACGGTTTCCTAACCAAATGCCCCTTGAATGAATCACAGGTGTCACTTGAACATAAACTGCTTCAGCCAGAGCCCTGGGAGCAGTCTTATCCATCTACCCAGGGTACAGGGCAAATATCATTTTCTATCACGTAAAAAATTGGGAAGTACTGGTATATAAAAAGTTCCTAGTACATAGCCCGGCACGTAGTAGATTCTCAGTAAATGCAAATTTCTCTCTTAAACTTCATGATGTCTACATGTCAACTATACCACTTTCCTGCCAGCTTTAGCCTGCTCCAAAGTTTTGTTTATGTGCACCTGTCCATCCCTAGACTGTGAGCCTCAAGTCTGGGGTTTTCTTCACCTCTGAGTCTGTGTCCAGTACACAACAAGCACTCAGGAAGTGTCTGGGGCACTGAACTAACTAGAAATTGCTAAGATGTAAAGAAAAGTAAGACTTTGATAGCCGGTTAACTCTGCCACTAATACATGTGTTACGCCAGGGGAATCACTGTTCGGTAGCATCAATAATAATTTCAGAGATGCTTGACAGGAATAGAGGATTCAGGATGAAAGGGCTTCTTCCAGAACTTTCCACCTCCTGACTCCAGGATGCAAACATAACAAGAAGAAGGAAACCGAGGTGCTAGTCAAGGTGAAACACGTAGCCAAGAGTCATCGAAGTGCCCGCTGGAGTCTACCTGGGGGGCTCCGTCCTACCTGGTAGCGGGGGTGGAAGCCCATGTACTGGTGGCACTGCTCACAGTGATGGTAGGTGTTGTACGCTGCGAACTTGGACAGTCTCATCCTCGCCGTCTGGCGTCGCATGTACAAGTCCTCCGGCTTCCGGTGCGTCCCTCTGTCTGCATGAAATCCCAGCGTTAAAGAACGCAGGAGGCCCAACCAATACTCTCTCCTCCCACTTGTTGGCAACGAAACACTGCAACAGGGCTTCCTGGGATCGCCTCTCACCTGTCCACCCCAAGCTGACTCCACTGGCCAGAAAGGACAGAGTCTCAGTAGGATAAACTAGACACTACATTCACATGGTGTCTCACTCATCCTGCTACGGATGTTTTATAAACCTATTCAAGGATTCGATCTGTGACAATGTAAATCGATCACTGACTTAATATGCAAATGCTGCAAAGCACACGATCACCCCTAGGATTTCAAACGACTTAGCAAAATTAAGATTTTAACACTCAACCTCCATTTGAGAAGGTCTACGTGAAGCGTGAAGGAGGCTTCAGTGAACGGCATCTGCTCTGAGCTCAATGTAGATAAGATGATGGAATCGACAAGGAGACTGGTGTCTTCCTCTCACACTGCATTCACTGAACTTTCCCAGTCAGTGCTTATAATCTCACTGGCCACTCACATCCGACGTTTGTCACCAGTGGCCCTGAAACCTGGCAGGGTTACTGTGAAAATTAGCGGTCCCCGAAGAAGGAGCGAGAAAACAAGAGACCAAGGAAGGGCAGGATGGGAAATAGATGCATTTTGTTGTAACAATCCAAACTCATAGAAAAACATATATCTTTTTCTTCGATTAACAAGAATCTTCAGAATATTCCAATCATGAAAAGCCATCAACAGCGTCCTCACATTTTTCCACACTAACGGACCAGCGAGTCTTCCCTCATGGGGTCGAAGAGCATTTCCTGTCCAGAGAGGTGGTGACCTCACTGCTCTCACAGGCACCTCCAGTTCACTCATCACCATCAGATATGTTTATCGCTAGCAAGATTTAACTCATCCCTTTAAGAGGCTATTCCCACATACTCTGGAAGAAGGTGGAAGCAAGAGTTTGACAAATCTGACCTTCGCTCTTTACACTCTGATGGTGTGAGCAGATCAGACTGGCGTCCTCATACTTCGGATCGTGAATAATGTAGTCAAAAGGCAACTTCTTGAACAGCTCCAGGTCCGGCCAGGGGTCACTAAGCTGGAGGTAATGCCAATCCGAATCTTCTCTGAGGTCTACAGGATCAGGAGAAACACAGATATGTGACAAAATGGGATGTGAGAAAGATTTATTTCAAACGTGCACAAGGGTGATGGTTGGAGTGGAACTGATGCTGAGTCTACAAGTTACCACGGGATCGCAAACGCCCAGGCACATGTTCCATTTTCAGGATTCTTCTAATTCAGCAAGAAGGTGCATTCAGATCTATCTCTATCCAGAGAAAGAGCCTTATGCTGGGTTTCCTATGGGATAGGCTTGCTCTTCTGACTTCCACTCCTCCCAATACACGTAACCCTGTGCTCTGTGCTTTTCCCTGGCCCTGTCCCTCAAATACACCACACTGGTTACCAGTACCAGCAGAAACTGATGCAGTTCTCTCTCTCACTCTTATATCTAAATGCTACCCAGTCAGTAAGGCCCAACTCCTATCACTTCACCTATAGGAAAACTCTTATAAATGCTCAGATCCACCAGCTTCCCCTTTCTGAATGCCAACACTGGCTCAATCCATGTTTTCACACTTGCCATGTATCATTGTACTATTATAATCAGTGTAGTCTACAGTGCTCATTAAACACTTGTTGGCAAAAAGGTAAAAAATTCTACTTGGTCCAACCCCAAATTATGTAATACATTGATTTCATGTATATGATATTTTATACATATGATACTGAAAGTGCTGCACTCAACATGTCAGCAAATTTGGAAAACTCAGCAGTGGCCACAGGACTGGAAAAGGTCAGTTTTCATTCCAATCCCAAAGAAAGGAAATGCCAAAGAATGCTCAAACTACCGCAGAACTGCACTCATCTCACACGCTAGTAAAGTAATGCTCAAAATTCTCCAAGCCAGGCTTCAGCAATACGTGAACCGTGATGTTCAAGCTGGTTTTAGAAAAGGCAGAGGAACCAGAGATCAAATTGCCAACATCTGCTGGATCATCGAAAAAGCAAGAGAGTTCCAGAAAAACATCTATTTCTGCTTAATTGACTACGCCAAAGCCTTTGACTGTGTGGATCACAATAAACTGTGGAAAATTCTGAAAGAGATGGGAATACCAGACCACCTGACTTGCCTCTTGAGAAACCTGTACGCAGGTCAGGAAGCAACAGTTACAACTGGACATCAAACAACAGACTGGTTCCAAATACAAAAAGGAGTACGTCAAGGCTGTATATTGTCACCCTGCTTATTTAACTTCTATGCAGAGTACATCATGAGAAACGCTGGGTTGCAGGAAGCACAAGCTGGAATCAAGTTTGCTGGGAGAAATATCAATAACCTCAGATATGCAGATGACAGCACCCATACGGCAGAAAGTGAAGAACTAAAGAGCCTCTTGATGAAAGTGAAAGAGGAGAGTGAAAAAGTTGGCTTAAAGCTCAACATTCAGAAAACTAAGATCATGGCATCCGGTCCCGTCACTTCATGGCAGATAGATGGGGAAACGGTGGAAGCAGTGACAGACTTTATTTTTGGGGTCTCCAAAATCACTGCAGATGGTGATTGCAGCCATGAAATTAAAAGAGGCTTACTCCTTGGAAGGAAAGTTATGACCAACCTAGACAGTATATTAAAAAGCACAGATACTACTTTGCCAACAAAAGTCCATCTAGTCAAGACTATGGTGTTTCCAGTAGTCATGTATGGATGTGAGAGCTATAAAGAAAGCTGAGCGCTGAAGAATTGATGCTTTTGAACTATGGTGTTGGAGAAGACTCTTGAGAGTTCCTTGGACTGCAAGGAGATGCCCATAAGAAAGAGAAAAAAAAGAAGAGGGAGAGGAATGCTTATTATGTATTTAATAGGTGCTCAGTGCTTCATATGTATAACATCATTTAATCTTCACAACATCCTGTAAAAGGGGAATTACGCACTTTTTGCCAAAGACAAACCCAAAGCAATAGGAGAGTATTTGAGAAAATAAGGCTATGAAGTTTAACACACTTCAGTCAAATCCTCTTTATCACTGGTGTACCCAACAAAACATGAAACAGAAACTCAGCAGCAATACAGTTCCAAATTGTGGGGGAAATGGTGGAAAACTCAGAGCGCAGATGAGCGTAGATACGGTTCCTTTTTCCTTCAAAAGAAAGATCAAGGGCTAGACAAGCTTCCTGGGTTCTAAATTTTCTCCCAGTCAAAACTCAAACATAGTTAAGAGCATGTAAAGAAGTTCTGTGTGTGCAAAGGGCAGGACTTCCTTCTTTGCCAAGACTGACTACATTGCACGTATATACCCCATCTTTATCCACTCAACTACTGGCAGGCATTTATCCATCAATGGACTCCATACAGTTGTTGCTACATCTTGGTTACTGTGAGTGATGCTGTAATGATCATGGTCACTATGAGAGGTGACTGTGGTGATTATTCCACAATGTGTATCAAATCATCCAGTTGTGCACCTTAAACATACACAATAGAAGTGCTCTTAGATGCCAGTGCAGCCTCGTGGGGCTCCTTCTCTATAATACAGACTCCTTACACAAATCTTCATTCCCAACAGATTCATTCAGTAAACTGTTTCAGAGCCACTGGAGTGGCGCTAGAAGAGGAAGGGGAGGAGGTGCTCTACAATGAGCATGAAACATGTTCAAAGACAGTCTTCCCTTAATCAGGATAAACTCCGCTCTGGGAATGAGAAGAAAAGCCTAATCCCTACATATCATGTATTCTTCATTTTGCCCCAAGGCGCTGACCTATGTGCTTAGTGGTCTGAAAGGGAATTCTCATTTGATGGACAACTCTACTTTCTAGAGGCAGCGTGCATGCATGCTCAGTTGCTTCAATCGTGTCCAGCGCTAAGACCCCATGGATTGTAGCCCACCAGGATCCTCTGTCCATAGGATTCTCCAGGCAAGAATACCGGAGTGGGTTGCCACTTCCTTCTCCAGGGGAACTTTCCAACCCAGGGATTGAGCCCATGTCTCCAGCACTGGCAGGTGGATTCTTGATTCACTGAGCCACCTGGAAAACTCCCTAGAAGCAGCAACCAAATATGGTTCCAGTTCTGCTACCCCTGAGCTGGCTCCTGAACATGTTACTTAGCAGGAACATGGATTAACAATATCTGTCTCTCGGTATGGTAGAGGACATGAATGTGGTAATTTATGTAAAGTATCTGGCACAGTGGTTGACATTTGGAAGGTACTCAGTAAAGAGCAGTTACTTTTAGTATCGTAATTTTATCTTCCCCAGGGCCTCCCAGGCTCTACTCTAGGATTGAGCAAAATGACTACAAGGGAAAGATAAAAGCCCTCCAAAGCCCTTGGGAGGAGTCAGATCATTAATCTGAGAATTCCATCTTGAAAGTAAAAGACACAAGCAATGTCACTTGAGAAACTGATGAAGATCATTCCAAGCCCCATGGTCATCAACAGGGAACTCACTGATGTTGATCTCTTCCTCATCATAAACATCCACTTCCGTCAGCCGAATGAGCATTCTGGACAAAATGCTGAGGAACTGCAGGTAGGCGCCTGTCTTCCCGATCTGCAGGGACAGCGAAGTGGGAGCCGACCATCAGTACGTCCATGCCAAGTGCAGGCGCTGACTGAGCACCTGACTTGCCTCCACGCATCCACCAATCTTAACCATCTCGCCCAATTAAAATGAGGGCTAGGGGGATGCAAAGACCTTTGAGGGAAAATGTGGCCTGAAGAAACGTGGCACGGGCAGACAGATGAACTCCCATGGGCAGGAGACCCACCTGCTTATCAATTATTGCAAATGTCTTTCCAGATTTTAATTGGCCACACTGTTTAAGCTGTTAGAAATAGGACTCCATCACAAGCTGAACAAAATGTTGCTTCAGAAAAAAAAAAAAAAAAAGAACTGACATTTTAATAATGCCTTAAAAGTCTTGCTCAATTGCAAATTATGATCTTATATTAATGGATGTATCTGTAGCGGGACAACAAAATTCATTGTGGGAGATGTGAAAGGTTGGCATCACACCTCTCTCTTCCTAAGTTCAGGACTTCCTTCTCTTCTTGTATTAATAGGTCCCCACCCCCATCAAGCCAGCACTAGGCCAGTATACTATTGATCTTAGTGCACTGACATCACAACTAGCTACAAGTGGACTTGGGGGCTAGCCTCCTCTCCCACCCACCTTGGCATCCTAAAAATGTGCTCTCAGCTTAAAGCTTAAGTTCTCAGCTTAAGTTCTCAGCTTAATGCCTGGTTCATAGGAAGGATTCAACAGATGCTGATAAATGGAAATAGCTAACTTACAAAATGAAAATATGAAATACAACTGGGGGGAGCTTTAGAGAAAATATTCACAATGCATATAATTCACAAAGGATTAAAATTTTTATACTCTAAAAGAACAAAGCAAAAGAAAAGAAAGTCAAATGGACTAAGGGAAAAATAAGAGAAACAAAACCAGAAAGTCATTGTAAAAGAAATACCAGTGACCAATAAAGATATTAAAATACATTCACCCTTACGAATAAAACTATGATATACAAAGTAATTTTCCCCTATCAAAAATGCAAAAATTTTAAAGACTGATAACATTCAGTAAGATGAGGGTATGGAAAAACCAGGGTTCCTTTATAAAAAACACTTTACTTTCCCCTTTTTAAAAAATTACACAAAGTACTACATACTTATCTAAAAGTGCAAGAAATACAGATCAATAAAAAAGTAGTCAAGTCACTCAGTCATGTCTGACTCTTTGCAACCTTATGGACTGTAGCCTGCCAGGCTCCTTCGTCCATGGGATTTTCCAGGCAAGAATACTGGAGTAGGTTGCCATTTTCTTCTCCAGGGCATCTTCCCAACCCAGGGATTGAACTCAGGTCTCCCATATGGCAGGCAGACTCTTTACTGTCTGAACCACCAGGGAAGCCCAATAATAAAGTAGAACAGTCACAGATTCCAGCCCCCTCCCCTGACAGCTCTCCTGTCGGGGGTTTCTGAAGATATTTTCACACATGCAGGCACATGCACACAGTGGTTTTTCTGTGTAATTGATATGACCCTATGTATATATTGTTCTGCAACTTGATCGTTAAAATGGAGATAGCTTAGAGAACTTTCAGTGTCAGTATATAAAGATCTAGCTCAAATTTTCTGTAGCTGAAATGCATGATACCTCTGTGCCCAAGTAAATTCAATCAAGCTTGACCAACAGAACTCACAGTGTTTCCATTTATTTTTTAACTACTGAAAATTACATAACACGAAAACGAGCACTTCTATCCATATTTTTGTGGGTCTGTGTTTCTTGGGGTAGGTACCTGACAAAGAAACGAACACGTGAGTGAAAAGGAAGTGTGTCTTGAACGGGGACAGTGATGATGACGGGGACAACCACAGTGCTTTCTAGGGGTCGGGTGCCCTACCACCACTCTCTTGTCTAAAGCTCCTGTTCTTGTGACACAGCTATTAGCTTCCTCATTCTCAGATGAGGACCCTGAGGCAAAGAGAGAGCTGGAACTGGCCCAGGGAGGCAGGTGATGTTTTAGTTCCATGCAGGGCCCACCCTTCACCCCGGCTCCGAGTGACTGAGCCTCCCTCCCAAGACCCCATACGAACCTCATGCATCCTCATCACCATCACAGGCTCGCAACCCCTGACATTCACACCTAGGTTCCTGCCATGATGACAGGTGAAACTGTCTTTCGTTGTCAGAAAAATACAATGAGCTGTGGGATGGAGACAGGTCTCTTGCCTCCCTGTTCCGTTTCACCAGAATCTTGCAGGACAGAAACAGGGGTCAGCTTCCATTGTCAGAGTGAGGGTGAACCGCCCTGACTGGCTGTGAGGACCAAATGGAGGAATGTGGGAAAGGCAGAACCATAATCTGAATGAGCAAGAAGGACCCACAGAGGACCCCTCTGGCCCCATACTGCTCAAAAGAGGAAACTGGGGTCAGAGGACGGAGGACACCCCGCCATGGGCAGCAGGTGGGTCCCTCTACCCATCCCCTTAGGGCTACGAGAGATGCCACCTGGGGGACAGCAGACGTGAATAAGGGATGCTCTGGGATGCTCTCAGCCCCAAACCAGCCTCTGGGTGTGCACACAAGCCCCCCCAATCCCCGCAGAGCCCGGGCGCATGGGGCAGCACCCACCTGGGGTGGCCCGCTAAGCAAAAGCCGGCGCGGGTGGAAGCCGTCCACGCGGCCCTCGGCACGGTTGCCGTAGTCCATGTGGCCGGGTCGGGGCACTGTCCACTGGCGGTAGTAGAGTGACTGCTCCGTGGACGTCATGGTCTTGCTGAGCAGGGGCCGGAAGGAGCTGGCCCACATGACCGAGTGCGAGGGCAGGAGCGAGGCGGCCTTGGGCAGGCCACTGCCGTCCGTGGACGTGACCATGTCGTACACCAGCTTGGGCAGGAAGACCACGGGCGGCTGCCGGCAGGACTTGGTCATGGAGCACTGGGAGGCCTGCAGGACGAGTGGGCCGGCGGCGGGTAGCGCCGGTGAGGAGGCCGAGCCCGAGGAGGATGCTGACGGGGCTGACACCTGGACGCCCCGCTGGCCGCTCTTGAGGCTGGGATCCGGCTGTGGGGTCAGCCCCGGGCTGTGCCTGCTGATGACCGATGGTGGCCCCCCCGCTGCCCGGAGCCTCTGTCTCTCCCCGGGGGCCCTGGCCTCCTCCGAGGGGCCACAGGGCGGTGGGGACCGGGCCCGCTCCCCCTGCGAGGGTCCGGCTGAGGATTCGCCGCATGGTGCTGAGCCTGCAGAGAGACACCCGTCAGTCAGGGCCCGGGATCCCCGCCCCAACTCCAGCTCCTGCTTATGTAGCACTGACTCCTTTTACCTGCAATGATGGGAATTTCCGCCAAGGCAATTCTCCTTCTGGTTAAATATGGACTTTTTGTCCTTCTGACAAAGCCCAGAGGTACTGCGGAGAGAGAGCCAGCGGCGATCCCCTGGCCCCACACACTCCTCCAAGCCTCTGCACCCGCAGCCCTATCTGTCCCAGACCCTCACTATCAGCGCTCAGCCCACCTCCTGCTCCGGTGCAGATGGGTCCCGGAGCTCAGATCTCCCTTCTGCACAGCACAGCGGTGCTTCTGGTTCAGACCGGTAGCAAAACTCATAGGAATGAAAAAGCTCAACTCTTTAGCTTCCAGAAGAATTCAAGATAGAAAATGCCGCACATACAACAGCTACCCAAATGCAGCATTTCTTTTGCTCTCCCCCACCAGTGGACCACGTTGCAAGCCAAGGTGAGTGTGGGTTCCTGGCATCCAGGAGCGGCACCCTGGTCCATCTTTTATATCACCCTGTGTGTGCTATATCGCTTCAGTCATATCTGACTCTTTGCGATCCTGTGGACTGTAGCCCACCAGGCTCCTCTGTCCATGGGATTTTCCAGGCAAGAATACTGGAGTGGGTTACCATGCCCTCCTCCAGGGGATCTTCCTGACCCAGGGACTGAACCCTTGCATTGGCAGGTAGGTTCTTTACCACGAGCGCTACTATCACCCTGGACCTCCTGAAAGGTGGAGGCTTCCCCATCTCTGAAACGTGGAGGTTGTACCCAAGGCCACAGGAAGCATCTCATTGGAGACTCCCTAAGGTCTCAGGGTCCTCTGAGGAATTCTGAGAAAGTCCCCTCACAGGACGGGGAAGCTGGCCAGCAGCCTGGACATTCTACTCTGCCTGACAACACTGCACAGACCAGCAGGTCCCATAACCTTCTAGAAAGCTGTCAGCCCAGGGTCAGAGAAGAGCAAAGCGCCACACCTCTCTATTCTAATGGCCTGGAGCACTCACTTCTCAGGTCCCCCTGGTGCCCTGGGTCCCTCTGTTGTTTGGGGCAGAAGGATAAGAAGCTTTTGGCTTTTCTGACTGACTCAAAACTATAAATCAGAACTTCCTCCATCACAGAATCCAGGCTCCTGTAAGAAGGCCTCTTTTGATTCCTTCTGTGCACATCTGTGAGGGAGACCCTCACCACCTGACCCACTGTTATCCATGGGCTGGTGAGGAGGTGGAAGAGAAGAAATGAAAGAAGACCCCAGGCCAAACCCCATGATGTGCTCTGACCTTTGCAGCCACTCCATGACCCTAAGCTGTCACCCCAGGACCACTCACTGCACCCAAGTACCACACACACCTTCACACCCCAGGGCCTCCTCTACCTTTAAGGCCCAAAGGCCAGCTGCTCTCTGAAACCTGCAGGGACTACCCCCAACTCCTGAATCTGCCCCACTTGGGACAAACTTCTTCCTATGCATAAGCATAGCATCTCATAGTGTGAATGTGTGTGCAGAAAATACACAGCAGTCCCTATTGCAACACAGCCTGGTCCAAAGGAACCATGAATTCCTTGAGAGCAGATGTGTATCTAATGGGTCCCTCAGTGCCCCGAGCCAGGTAGAGAGCAGGTTGTCCATAAACGCTTGTGGTGGGAGGACATGTGATCTGTCTCACTTGTGCTGCCCCAGACTGCTCCCTTGAGGCCGAGGCGGCCCCCAGGACCCACATTCCCCACTCCTCTGCCCAAGTGCGGTCAGGTCCAGGGGTCAGTGGACACTTGATAAATTTTGCTGCTTCTCCCCCAGTGAAGCCTTCTGTGTCCGCTTCTCTCGGCCCTCAGACTCGACAGCAACACTCACCCGGCTCCTTGCCCCGATTCCCCAAATGAACAGCGGCCTGCAGAGCACCGAGGGGTGGCCCTCCGACACCCCCGAGCACAGGCCTCCTCCCAGGACAGGAGCCACCACAGCCCAAACCCTTCATAACCCCAGAATCACCCCCAACCCTGGTCCAGAAAGACGCGTACTCTCTAGAAAGGCCAGTTCTTCATGGACTCCTTCTCTTTCCAGTTCTAGTTGAAAATAAAGAATTTCTTTCCAGTCTCTGAAGTCTCAGAAAACCAAAACGGTCCAACCGTGGGATCTTTATCCCCTGGAGACTTACTGGATGCCTTAGAGGAGAGGGATGAAGACGCGGAGTCATGGGAGCGGGATCGTTCTCTCTTCACAGGGCTCCGCTTCTCTGACATGGAGCCTGTTTCAAAACATACACACTGAAGAGGCCTAGTAATCATGGTACCATCTGTTTCCCTAGCACTTCAGTTTATAAAGTGCATTCATATATAGCATCTCTCATCCAACCATCCCTCCATCCCTCCATCCACCCATCTATCCATCCATCCCTTCATCCACCCATCTATCCATCCATCCCTTCATCCACCCATCCATCCATCCCTTTATCCACCCATCTGTCCATCCATTCATCCTTTCATCCATCCATCCATCCACCCATCTGTCCATCCATCCATTCCTCCATCCACCTATCCATCCATCTCCCCATCTGTCCACCCATCCATTCATCTATCCATCCACCCATCCATCCATCCATTCCTCCATCCTCCCATCCATCCATCCATTCTTCCATCCATCCCTCCATCCACCCATCTGTCCATCCAACCTTCCTTCCATCATCCATGAATCCATCCATTCCTCCACCCACCCATCCATCCGTTCCTCCATCCACCCACCCACCCATTCCTCGATCCATACCTCCATCCACCCATCCATCCATTCCTCCATCCACCCATCTGTCCATCCATCCCTCCATCCACCCATCCATCCATCCATCCATCCATCCTTCCATCCATCCATCCATCTTTCCATCCATCCATCCATCCATCCATCCATTCTTCTGCCCATACATTCCTCCATCCACCCACCGACCCATTCCATCCATCCATTCACCCACCCACCTGCCTATCCATCCATCACTCCATCCATCCATCCACCCATCCATCCATCCCTCCATCAGCCCACCCACCCATCCATCCACATCCCTAGGCCCCCTCCTCTGAGGGAGCGCTAAGGAGACAGGTGTACGATGCAGGGCAGGCCAGTGAGGCACTGGTAGGTCAGTGGGGCTCCTGCCCAGGGGTCTTGGCTACAGGATGGAGTAAGGAGGGCAGATAGGGCAGACCTGGGACCCAGGAGCCAGGCACCCACCCAGCAGGAGGAAGCAGGAGAGGGGAGACATCCTGGGAGAGGGGACCCTGACCCCGGTTCTGAACGGCCAGGTGGGGTTTCCAGGTGAAGCATGGGGCAGAGGGAACTCGAGTGGCTGGGAGAGCAACTGTGTGGCCCAGAGGTGATAGAGCAGGGCACAACCATGAGATGAGTGTGGCCAAAGCTCAAGGGGCGGCATGGAGGCCAGAAGCCAAGAGGCGCAAAGGGGGAAGGTGGGTCAGGAGATGTCAAGTGTGTGGATTCCCTCCACGGGCAATTTCATGTCAGGGGCCAGCCCACACCTGTGAAAATCATCTACGGCACCAGGAGGGTCTTTCCTCCCCATTTTACAGATGGGCCATCTGAGGCTAGAAGAGGTGACGTGACCTGTCCAAACGCACACAGCCAGCAATGGGGGCTGGGCGGGGAAAAGGCGTTCTGGTCTGCTGGCTCTCCAGTCTCACTCTCCGCTACACCAGACCCCACAAACGCCCTGCACTTTCACGGCAGCAGCTTTTCATTTTTTTTCTCCCTGTCCTGCTGACAGCAGCCAGATGCCTTGCACTGTCCTGATTTATGTGTCCTATTAAAAAACACTGTGTCAAACTCTCATGTCTGCAGACGAAATTGGCCTGTTTCCATAAATCCCAATAATGGACACCTCCAGTGAATTCACATAGAAGGCATAAGCGAGTGAATCTTAAACCAGCCAGTAATTCCACCAGCAATTCAAACAAGGCATGAGCTTAAGCCCTAGGAAATCTCCATTTTTCTTCCTACTTTTAAAGAATTTTAGAGCTTCAAAGAACTTGCTGGGATTCCCATTTTCTCACACCACCAAAAATGAGGGGTAGTGATGGCTGGTTTAGTAGCTAAGTCATGTCTGACTTTTGCAACTCCATAGACTGTAGCCCACCAGGCTTCTCTGTCAATGGGATTTTCCAGGCAAGAATACTGGAACGAGTTGCCATTTCCTTCTCCAAAAACAGGGGGAGGGGAAGCAAAACATGAAATCACTGAAGGATTTCCCCTAAAGATGTATCGAGATGGTTCTCATTGGGAGCTGCTGACCAGCAGACAGGCCAAGGACCACCCTGAGTAGGGACAGGGGCAGGACCGGCTTCCCCACCTTCTGTCACCAGTTCTTCGTCCTCGTTGTCTGTGCTGCTCAGCTTCTCCCCATCACTCTCCAAGGCCTCAGTCCGGGCGCCCTTCTCCAGGGGAGCCTCACTGCTCACAAAGTATGCGGCCAGGCCCAGCTCCTGCTCCAGGGCCGTCCTCACCAGGCAGGAGGAGTTTATGAGCCGCAAGTCACAGTACCGCAGGGACCTGGGAGGAGGTGGAAGAAGGGATCTATCGAAAGCCTTCTACCAGGAGGCATGGCTGCGTGCCAGGGACCAGCACTCTGCCTGCCTCAGTAGGCCCCCAGGACTCAGGCCAATGGAATATCAGACAGCGCACCGTGAGCCCTGAGCACCGAAGTCCATTTGACTGTACGTCTCTGGGGGCCCCTGCTAGGTATTTAGCCCTGTGCTGCCTGGAATCTAAAGAACACCGACTTTCTGGTCAGATGAGAACGAGGCTTGAGTTCCAGCCCTGCCTCTTCGTGAGACAGGACCTTAGACAAGGTAGGCAACTACTCGGGAGGCTCAGATTTTTTTTTCATCTGAAGGATATGAATGAATATTAATAACCGCTTAAGTGTACTGTTACGAGCGATATATGCAGTAAGTAGACATCTGATTATTCCAACAACATTTAAAATGTATCCAGGACCATGTCTCATGCAAGGGAAAGGATGGCCATCAAGTCACTGACATATTGGAAACCAGAGTTTGTCTGGGAAAACGCTCCAATGAGTCATGAAATACGGGGAGGGGTGGACACATGGGATGGGAGGGGCAGGGCTCAGGGGAACAGCAGAGGGCTTAGAGAGGCGGATGGGGGCTGCAGTCAGGCTCTGTAACTACTGCTTCTGTGACCTCGGGAAAATGGCCTTCCATTTCCTCACCTAAAGAACAGGGCAGTAATACTAACGTTGCAAGGGACAAATGCTAGATCAAGAGTCCAGCACAGTGCCTGATACAAAAAGGAGTTCAGCAAAGCTCACTCAAATTTAAGATAACGGCATTGTCAGTCCGATGGAGCTGAGGCCTGGAAGATTTGATCCATGACATAGCAACAACCAAGGTCGAACAGTCTGGAGCTGCTTTTAGCTGGTCCGTGAGTACACAGTGTGAAGTGGCCCTTCTATAAGTGTAGTATGGACCAGTGGAAAGAAGCCAGGAAGCTCTGAGGCCACCATCCACCACACCGGCTTAATAATCTCTGGAAAACTCGGTTTCCTCATCAGGAAGGCCTCCACCCATGGAGACCAGCAGCAGTGCCCACACCCACCCCCCTGAGCCCAAGGGGTCCCTATCTGAGAACTGGGAAAAGCTGCCCAGGCCCAGACACCTCTCACTGCCATTTGCTGGAAAACTGTCACCACAAAGATACAAGCTGCTGATGCCTATGATGTGAGCGCACCACCGAGAGTCGGGCAGGGGAAGCCTGACCTGATAAAGCCCCCAGCGTTGCCTGGGAGGCTGGCTCCTCACAGACCCCCAGGAGCACAGCCCCCCAACTCACTCACCTTGGTAAGGACTCCCCGTGTGGGTCCATCCCACTGAAGATCAGGATGCAAGGCAGGCCCTCCAACTCCAAGTACGTCTGAGGCCGCCACTCTGCATCCTCTATGTTCTGCCACACCTGCAGATAATTAAAGAGGGAGACGACTGTGGGACGCCACCCTTCCCGACTAGCCCAGCACGAAGGGAACCCTGATGTCCTCCTGCTGATTGAGAGCCCTTGCAATGCCTCGTCTGAGCCTTATCAAATTTATACTGCAAATAAGCACCCCATCGGCTTCACCACTGGATTCCCAGCCACGCAGAACACTGCCTGGCACTCATCAGCCGTTCAAGAAATATCTGCCAACTGACTGCCTTAATCTTTGCTAGAAAGTATACATCCTCAGGCCTTCCTTGGGGGCTCAGATGGTAAAGAATCTGCCTGCAATGAAGGAGATCTGGGTTTGATCTCTGGGTCAGGAAGATCCCCTGCAGTAAGGGAATGGCGACCCACTCCAGTATTCTTGCCTGGAGAATTCCATGGACAGAGGAGCCTGGTGGGCTACAGTCTATGGGGTTGCAAACATTGCACACAACTGAGCGACTAACACTTCACTTCGTATCATATATCCTCAACTGTCTAACATTTTGTACCATATTCTCCCCATTGTGAAGCTGTGCCCTCACAATTCCTTCCCAATTGTTCAATATTCTTGCCCTAAGCCTTTCGTATCATCTGTCACCTGGAGGTCTAGTGGAGAGCGAGGTCTATGGGCCAGGCACTGTGCTCATTTGGGGGGCTGAGATGTGTGGGGGTGTCCCTGCCCTCCCCTGCTGAGGGAGAAGCAAGAAAACAGGCAGGAAAAACAGAACCTGTGCCAGGTTGGGGGCGGAGGGCAAGGAGGGGGAAGTGAGGCTTCCTGAAAGAAGGAAAGACTCTGAGTTGAATTCTGTGAACCAATAGGTATTAGCTAAACAAAAGAGGAGAAGAAATGAACCCCTGGAAAGAAAGAAAATTGTGCCAGGGCCCAGAACTTTAAAACAGCAAGACAGGGTTTTGGGGAGGGTGCAGTTTTATAAATAATGTGGTAAGGCTGGACTGAAAGATGCAGGTAGGGATGTGGTCAAGAGAGGAGCCTGGAGGGGTGGCCGGGTGTGCAGAGGCCACGTTGGAAGAGACATAAAGTTCATCACCAGTCCACCCCTTCCCCTCTGCTCCCTGCCCCCTGGTCATCCTGCCGGCCCTCCCAGGTGTCTAACCCGCCCCCTGGTCATCATCTCCACCCACCCGTCCTCCTAGGAGTCTGTCCCTGCCTGTCCCCACCTTGAGCTGCTTGAGGAAGTGCTTTCCTATGGTGATGCCCGAGGCGGGGTTCCCCAGGATGATCTCAAAGTGCTCCTCCAGTGCCAGACGTGCCCGCACGTGGGCCAGCCGCTCATAGGCCACGGCCGCCAGTGGGGAGCAGGGCACCCGCAGCAGGACCATGAGCCCGTGGCCGCAGGGGCACTGCTTCGGGGAGTTGATGAGGTTCTGTGTGATCTCCAGCGTCTCCACAGACGTGTAGTTCTTCATCTGCGAGAGGCCGCTCACGGCCATCATGGCGGCTGCATAGTGCTGCACGAGAACAAAGGTCCTGATCACCGCGCTGTGCAGGCGGGGGAACCTGCAAGGAACAGAGAGACCACGCCGTGACCCGGGGCTGTGACTCCAAGGACGCCCAAGCGCTCCAGGAAAGCAAGGCCTGCCAGGGCCAACCGGTAACCAGACATCTGCCATCCAGGGCAGAGGGCATGCTTGCTGCAGGAGGAGCTGGGGAGTTGAACAGAGAAGCAGAGGCAGGACAAAGGTCAGGTCACACAGCCTCAGTGTAGCATCTTGGAGGAGAACTTCCCTTGGCAAGGCTATGGGAGCTCAGCTGACAATCCACCTGGCCTGATGAAATCCATCAGCATCAGAGCTGAATGACAGTTTCCCAAAGGGAGTGCTGGGGGACACTAATCTCACAAGACACTGGACATGCCTTGCACGCTAGCCCTCTCCCGGAGACTCACAGCACATATGGCCAATGGTAGGCACTGAGAACTCTCGTTGGGAAAAAGAACCTTTTGGTAAATGTAAGATTTATCAAACACATGTGACCATGGAAACCCTTTTGACATAACAGCTATTAGTGTGCAGCAGCCTAGTTTGGAACACAGTTTAGGAAGTACAGATCTAACTCATTCCCTTTATCAACAAGGGAGAAAAACAAGCTGCCACGAAGAGAGACGACAGAGCTCAGTTAAACACCCACAGTGAGCAGCAGAGCCATTCATTTTGTTTTATATTGCATGCATGTGTGAAGTCACTTCATTTGTGTCTGACTCTTTGGGACCCCATGGACCATAGCCCACCAGGCTCCCCTGTCCAGGCAAGAATACTGGAGCGGGTTGCCACGTCCTCCTCCAAGGGATCTTCCCGACACAGGGATTGAACCTGCGTCTCCTGCATTGGCAGGCGGGTTCTTTACTGCTGAGCCACCTGGGAAGCCCCAAGTGTTTTTCATTAGACAGTCTGTAAATCTGGGCCTGCCTTTTCCACATATACACTGTGTGGATGTCGGTCCTTAACCTCCCTAAGCCTCCATTTCTTCATCTGTAAAGTGATAACGTTGACACCCACCTCGGGGGTCTGATGTGACAGGGTTGAAAAGGTAACACTGATTCCGGGTTCAGACCCAGTTCTGTCACTTTCTAGATGTATGGCCTGAGAAAGCCATGGGGTCTCCCTGAGTCTCAGTTTATTTGCAAATGTGAACAATAATAACAGCTGTCTTGGAGAGGTCGGGATAATGAAAGAAAGGCTCTTGGAACAAAATAGGCACATGGTAGATAAACAGAGGAAATAAAGACAAAGCCAACTGATCACCACTCTCTCCCTTTACACCTTTTGGCATCTTACTTCCTCCCCCATTTTCTTGCCCTCCCTTGAGTCTCAGACACACAGACCCACATTCCAGCATATTTCTGTCCATTCTCACTCTCAAATTTTCTGGAGCACCAACATGATATCACCAGCCCAATATGCAAAACGAGGAATAAACTAAGGTCGATTCAATGGAGCGACTTGAGTCACCCAGGAAGGGAGGCCGGTGACCTGCTCCCCAGACATGCCCTGGCTGCACCTGGCACTTGACTACTGAGCAGTTTTAGGAACTTCGAGAGAGACGTGTACCTTTTTCCCAGTGCGGTGACCATGGCCTCAAAGGAGCTGTCATATCTCAGCAATGGGAGGCTGTGTCCTGAGAGTGTGGACTCGATGAACTCAGACAGCCCGAAGTACTTCTTGTTCTCAGGATACAAGTCCACACCCTAAAACAGAGATGCACCTTGGTCACGCCAACGACACATTTGTGGGAACCATGGGTCATGTGCTGGGGGCACAGGTGACCTGAACAGCATCTTGATCTAAACTGAGCTGACTCTGCAGTGCCCTGGGTGACCTTTTATAAACGTCTTTCCTCTGCAGACCCAGAGCACAGAGCACTCCACGCATAAAGGCCAGTGCCTCCCCATCACTCAAGATTTTTCCATTCAGTTGACGCCAGTGCCTTGGCCAAGAAGAAAATCAACCTTGTTTTCTTTTCTTTTTTTTTTAAGACACACAACTTTCTTTGTTAAAACTGCTTTTACAACAATTTTAACTGGCTTTAGGAATAGGCAAATCAATTATTTTTGCATTCAGCTGCTATTACATCAGCAGAAAGAAATGCATTTATCTAACCAATTTTACTCACATTGATATAAAATTCCTCACAGACTAACATCAGAGCTTATCAAACTTCAGAGAAGAGGGAAGTTGGGAAGGATGCTAAAACTACAGAAATGAAAGTGAAAGTCTCTCAGTCACATCCAGCTCTTTGCGACCCCATGGACTATACAGTCCACGCAATTCTCCAGGCCAGAATACTGGAGTGGGCAGCCTTTCCCTTCTCCAGGGGATCTTCCCAACCCAGGGATCGAACCCAGGTCTCCAGCATTGCAGGCGAATTCTTTACCAGCTGAGCCACAAGGTAAGCCCAAGAATATTGGAGTGGGTAGCCAGCCTACCCCTTCTCCAGCAGCTCTTCCCAACACAGGAATCAAACTGGGGTCTCCTGCATTATATGTGGATTCTTTACCATGAACTATACCCTCAGGTAGCACAAAGGTTAAGCGTGAGGACCACGGAGTCAGCCGGACTGGGTCATATCCCAGTCTGGCTCCAGAACTTTCTAGATGCATGGCTTTAGGTAACTGGCTTAACCCATCCCCTCTGCTTCATCTTCCCTATTTGTAAATCAGAAATCAATGTAGCATCTGCGTCTTATCCAAGTTCATGAGATAAAGCACTCTGAACGTTGCCTGCCAGGCTCATGGTAAGCACCACATGAAAACAACTGCCGTCACCATGAATGTATATATATGTACATATTTGGCTATCAAATGTTAATTTGCAGCATGGGGTGCACAGATTTCTTTGGGGTGCACAGATTCCCCAGTGGTGCGCTCAGACTTGGTAGTTGCAGCGCGTGGGCTTAGTTGCCCTAGGGCACGTAGGATCTTAGCTCCCCAACCAGGGATCAAACTCTCGTCCCTTGCATTGCAAGGCAGATTCTTAACCACTGGACCACCAGGGAAGATCCCAACTGCTGTCTCTACCACTGATTCTGAGTCAGTCGGCTGCACACCAAGCATCAGCACCTTTAGAGGTTGCTCGGATGACTCCGAGATGCTTCGAAAAATTCCAGAACTTGATGTCTACTGCTTGCTTGTATAGTTAGGCAGAATCCAAACATCCAGAGTTTTCACATTAGAAGAATGACTGCTATCTTTTATTTTGGTGAAAAAATGGCAGATGATAAGCTGAAATAAAACTCACCAGGGTTTGTGGATGTGTGTTCAGTTTGAGAAAGGAGATTTCAAACCTCACTGCTGAAGGAGGCAAGGATAGGAAAAATAGGAACACTTCTAGACAAACTTAGAGTCGCCCCGTGCGGAGCCCAAGTCCTCACATCCCTAGAAGCCTCGATGTCCAACACCAAGAGAGAGAGAGCTTCAGCCACTCAGAGAGCTTCAGTCACCACAGAAACAACAAACCAAGTGCGCTACCCTATGAGCTCTTAGACAGGAAGCCGAGAAATGCACTGCAGGAGGTTTCTAAAGACCAAGAAGGGTTTAACTCTAACCCTGGGTAGAATCAACGAACCGAGGAGTTGGAACCTACTGACCCCCAACTGGGCACATCAGTCAAATCTTTACTGAACAGAACCTCTCCCAGCCCAAGGTCACTGGTGCAACGGGCCCAGCCGCCCGGGGAACTCACGTCACTGTAGGAGGCCGGCCAGTGGATCTCGTTGTAGGGGCTGACGAGGGTGTGCTGCGTCTGCAGTGCGTAGGGGAAGGAGGTCACGTGGAGCGTCACGATGTTGGGGGCCTCCTTCACCTCCTTGCAGTTGAGCAATCTGTCCACCAGCCCCACAGATGGGTCACTTTGGGAGTAGAGGTTATGAACAGCGCTACTGAGGGAGGAAAAGGGGGAGAAGAAATGATAAGTGGGACGACCAGCGTTGTCTTGTCACCTGACCAAGATCGAACATTTGGATCAATTGATAATGAGCCCCCCAGTGCTGCCAACAACTGAAGCTTAGAACTCTGCCCTTGACTAGGAAAATGAAACTTTATAAAGAAAGACCCCAGTGGGATTTCCAGGCAGTACAGTAGTTACAACTCCTCGATTTCAAGTCCAAGGGCGTGGGTTCGATTCCTGGTTAGGGAACTAAGGTCTTGCAAGCTATAGGGTGTGGCCAAAAAAGAAAAGAAAAAAAATCTGAGTGCACTTCAGGTACCTGTCAGGGACTCCCCAATCATGACCTATTAAAAGCCTGACTGGGGGGACAGTGTTTACACAGGCGCACTTGCACAATACCCGGTCCACCTGCTTCTCTAGCACAGGGACGCTCACCCAGTTGTCAACGAGTCGCCTTTTCTCTCTTGGTCCAACCTGACTGTACACTCATCTCCTTAAGTTCTTTTCTCTAAAGTCCTGTGACCTTGAATTGATCCAAAGAGGACCTAAAATGGTACATTCTCTACCAAATGTTACAGCATAGGACCAGCAATAGGAAGCACTTTGGACAGAGACGGAGGAGACAGTCGCCTCTTAGCCTTCCTCTGTGGGACAGGGGCCCCGAGTGTTGTCTTCTGTAAATTGAGAGGAATGGGAAAAAAAAAATCAGTGCCTCACCTCTTGGGTGGCAGGTCGCCACTTGGAAAAACCTATCCACCAAAGGAAAATGGACAATATAGCTTTTTATATAACTCAGAATGTTCAAATTCGCCCAGTGCTAGACTGGACACCCTTTACTTGGGTGAACTTTAAGGCTCTGGCCAGCCCTGCGCTTCTGCACCCGCTGTAAATCAGAGCCTTCCTCCGAGGTCCGACCCATCATCTTCCCTCCCTCCTCATCCAGGTCAGGGGCGGTGTCTAAACACACAACCCCAGTCTCACGGAAATGCCCAGGAACCCTGCCAGACTCCAAGCTTGAGACCATCTGAAATTCATCCAGATTTATGTTCATTTGAGCCGAGTAAGTGAAATCACCCTGGGAAGGGCAGTAGCTGTGACCCACATGATCCAGAGCTATGAGGCTCTGTCTGGAAGGGGTTGGGTAGAGCTCCTCCCATCTGGGTCCCTTTCTGGCACCACTGCAGTACCCACTGTCCTGCCCCTGCCACCCTTCTCCCCCCAACCCAGCCTGCAATGTTGAGCAAGATGCCCACATTCTCCAGTTTCTGTAATGATCCTTTTTAGAGGCCTTTTAGGGCTTCCCTCATAGCTCAGTTGGTAAAGAATCTGCCTGCAATGCAGGAGACCCAGGTTCGATCCCTGGGTCAGGAAGATCCCCTGGAGAAAGAAATGGCATCCCACTCCAGTATTCTTGCCTAGAGAATCCCATAGACAAGAGGAGCCTGGCAGGCTACAGTCAATGGGGTCGCAAACGTCAGATACAACTTAGCGACTAAACCACCACCAGAGGCCACCTGAGATGACCCCTCAGCTAACTTCTGGCCCTACAGTCTGAAACAGTCCCACAGCACCTGCCTACAAATGCCAAGCCCCCAAGATCATTAATCTTTTTAACACTTACACCCATTGTCGCAAATATCCATACGTTGTGTGCATGCACGCTCAGTCGCTAAGTCATGTCTGACTCTTTGCAACCCCATGGACTGTAGTCCGCCAGGTTCCTCTGTCCATGGAATTTCCCAGGCAAAAATACTGGAGTGGATTGTCATTTCCTTCTCCAAGGGATCTTCCCGACCCAAGGATCAAACCCGCATTTCCTGCATTGCCAGGCGGATTCTTTACCACTGTGCCACCCATATGATCTACAGGGAAACCCATATGATCCTTCAGTCAAATAAGGGAAATGCCAGCCCTCCCCTGTGCCGCAGCCAGTCTAACCTCACGAGATCCCAGTGGGCGTGGTCGTGGATGAGGACGAAGAGTGTGTGCGGATTCTGAAAGGAGTTTTGCAGGAAGGACTTGAACTTCGTCTGCGCTTCAGCATCGAGCTTTAGAACATACTGCTCCACCCTCTGCCTGGTCACGTGCTCCTTCTCCAAGCCCAGCTCCAGCAAAACCCCTGCAACACAGTGAAAATACATCAGTAGCTCCAAACGTGGCTGTGAGGTTTTTGAGTCATCAACAGACCCTTGAGCAGGATCTCCCATGTGGCAGGCTTCAAGCTGGGCCCGGAGGCTACAGGGATGGAGGAGTTATGCATGAGTCAGGAGGCCAGATATCAGAATATAGTTCACTGACTTGAGTGGAACAAAGGGAATATTCTAGTGACACCTTGCCTTTAACAGTTTATAAAATCATGGACAAGTGTCTTCCTCTGGGCATCAGCTTCATGAGCTATGAACTAGGGGCGTTAATACTGCCCCCTCTGCTTAGGAAGCAAAGATGATGTTAGAATCCAAATCTGAATGTAGGTACCTCAGAGCTTCCGCACCCAGACAGACATCAGACACGCCCTGAAAGGCCATGCCGTGTGAAGTTGCTTCAGTCATGTCTGACTCTTTGTGACCCCACAGACTGTAGTGTGCCAGGCTCCTCTGTCCATGGGATTCTCCAGGCAAGAATACTGGAGTGGGTTGCCATGCCCTTCTCCAGGGCATCTTCCCGACCCAGGGATCGAACCCATGTCTCCTGTGGCTCCTACATTGCAGGCGGCTTCTTTACTGCTGAGCCACCAGGGAAACCCCAAAAGGGCCCATACCTGAATGCCAGACATGGAAGAGGGTCTGCTGGTAAGTCACTTCTGAGGGCGGAATACAAATCAGAAAGTCCACCTTCTCAAAGGATCCCAAGTCCAGATTCTGGGTGCTGGAATCGGCGATTGAACACACGTGGGAGAGGAGCTTCTGGGCCACAGCCAGCTGGAAGGGCCGGATGCGGTGGGGCTCCAGATGGTAACCTGGAAGCAGAGCCCCCATCAGGATGAGGTGCAGCGGGAGCAGACTGCTACAGCCCTGGACTCTGCAGGGGACTGAAGCAAGGGCCCCATCCGCTCCACAGGGATGAGGGAATGGGAAAAGACCAGCATTCACTGAGTCCCTGCTCTGGGCTATGCACCATGCTGGTCATGTCACACCCTATTCCTGATTTAAAAATTAAAAGATGAACAGCACTCGGGGATCTCAGGGGCTGAGACCTACTCCACCTGGAGGGGACAAGGACAGGATCCCAGGGAAGCAGATGCTGAGACTGGACTTCCGAAGAGGCTGCAGGTTCTCAGGAAGAGGAGGAGACCAGCAGAGCCCCTCAGGAATACAGCATGAATAAAGCATTCCAACAGTGCATTGATAAACGAGAAATCAACTTCAGAGAAAGGAAAGCGTACAGATGTACATTTCAGGGTAAAATAAGACTGTTCTCGTTAAAGACTAAAATGAAAGTTAGGTCTGCTTTGATGCTAGGAAAACACCTTGCCCACTGGATGTGCCTCAAACTGTGCTTTCTTGCAGACCGTGGTGGCCCCGGGACGCTGCCCCACCAACCCGGAGCTTGACCACCACTCCCCAGCACTACTCACTTGTGCACGCAGGTGCCCCGCTGACATCCAGGGACACTGACTTGGTGATAGAGGAAGCAGTAAGTGAGGAAGAAACAAGGCCTTGATTTTCCTGATGGAATTTGTCCAGCAAAATGTCAATGTCGCCTTCTGCCCCCAAACAGAGAGAACATCAGAAATGGGTTCTCCATCTCAGGGAAACTCAGCATCAAGGGAACAACCTCTATGTGTGATGCACTGCCCTGAGCCTGGGGCACCAGAGATAGGGTGGCCCATCCCGTGAAAGAGCCCATAGCCTAGGAAGGCAGATGTCCTCAGGAAAATGACATTATGACCCAGTGGGTTTCAGGGCAGGAAGCCAGAGGTCAGGAGGTAGGGATCTGAGCCCATCCTGGAGAAGGAGGGGCCAGCAAAGGTTTCTGGGAGGAAATGGGGTGACTCCTGAAGGGCGAGTAGCCAGGAAAAGAAGGGAGATGGGCACTCAAAGCTTGGAACACACAGAATGAGGCACAGAGATACACTTCTCCAACAAGAGGCTTTAAGCAACTGAGGGGGGAGGCAGGAGGGTGATGGACAGAGCCCTGGAGGTGGAGAGGACCATGCACGAGCCCCTCGTGTGCCCCAAAGGACAGACACCACACAGCCAGAGCAGGAATCGGCCAGCTAGAGACCCCGCACCATGGAAGGGTCACCGCACCTGTAAATCCAGGCCAGCCTCGGCAGCTCACGGGGATGGGCTCTGAGACGGCCTCTCCCTTGTGTCTGTGTATTTCTGTCTCATCAGTGTATGGTGACTTGCACCTGTCTGACTACAAGCGTACCTGGACAGAGGCTGCTAAAAAAGGCCCCTAGTGAGTCCACCTTCCCGGTAACCAGCTCATAATTGACTTCTTTCTGGTACTCGGCTGGGGTGAGAAGGCTCTCAGAAAGAATGCGGGCTTGGTATTTTCCTGGAAAACAAACGACAGCTTTGATGGGGCCCTCCACTTAGAATTAGTACAGGAGCTCTTTGATGTCAGAGTCTGTGCCTGCATCCCTTTCTCCCTCCATCCTCCAAGCCCAGCACCACACCTGGCTAAGAGCAGGGCTTCCTGCTGCTGGTGAAATGAATGAATGGTACACATGCCCCAGAGCCCAGTTTGGAACCTGACTCTCTCCCCCACTTAACCAGCTGTGTAACCCGGGCCAACCCAGCTTCCTCATCTGGAATTCATGGCTGGCAGCTCTATCTACTCTGCAGGACTATCATGAGGACGAAACAGGGCAAGGTTTATGAAATGTGCAGCCCAATGCCTGATGTACTAGAGGCTCCAGTACTGAAGGTACCACTCAAATCAATGTAAAGAATTTATTAAAAAAAAAACACAGAAGGCATTCAGGATGAAGGAATGATAAGAGATAACGAGGACCCGGCAGAGGAACAATGTGAAATAGCCCCTCATCTGTAATCCTTCACACTTCCCCCTTCCTCCGGGGACATTTCGCACCCCCCCACCCAGTGTCTGCCTGTCCACCAGCACATGGGCTCCAGGAAAGCAGGACATCTCTCCTGTATCCCCAGCCCCCAGGACAGAGGCTGCACATAGTAGGGCTTCAATAAGTGTTTTTATAGTTAGTTAGCTGACAGCCTCATTAACCCACACAACCCAGTAAGGTCATTATTTTTTCTCTCCATTAGGTAGTTGAAGATGCTGAGGACTGGAGTCACTGATCACAGGTGTGAAGGGGTTTCCGTGAATCTATACAGACCCCAAACTTGACCCCAGTCTCTCAGAGGAACCAGAACTGCAGCACCTTTCATTTCAGGAGGAATGGAATTTTCCAGAAGCATGCTATTCAGGGCACACCAGGGGCGTTTGAGAGTTAACTGCAGTTACTAACCAGCGCTGATGCAAACCCCAGGCCCCCGAGGGGCCAACAGCCAGGTGGTGGGGGGGTTTTCTGGGGGTCACCAGAAGCATCCCAGAGGAGGGCCCAGCCTCACCGGTGACGGCAATGCAGGAGTCAATGGCGGTGCTCCGGCAGGCACAGATGATCACCACGTAGTTGGTCTTGGCCAGCTTGCCCTCGATCAGCAGGCGGAACATCTCGGAGAGGCCCTCGGCCAGAGAGTAGGTGCACTCAATGATGTGCACGCTGTCATTGCAGGAGCTGGCAGCCAAGCCGGCCAGCCAGGGCAACTGCGCAGAGGTCACAGGGGCCACGGTGCCTGGCACGGGTGGGAAGGGCTGGGGCGGCGCCTGCTGGTACTGCCGGATCTCCGTCAGATGCGATTCGCGCCACGAGCGCAGGAAGATCTGCTCCAGGTCCTCCATCAGGGGCACCTGGTCCGCCGCTGGCAACAAGGCGGGTGAGAGGGGCTTCAGCACCTGCCCCGCCCACACCACGGGGCAGTGCTGGGGAGAGGCGTGGTACCCCAATGTCCACCTGATACAATCTGAATAATCCACATCCAAAAGAGAGGGAGGCTGCAAACGCAGCCCTCATCTCATCTGCCTAAAAGAACCACTATTTTTGAGTGCTTCTCAGCCTTTTTCCCCCACGTGCTGGAATTTTTTGTTGTTCAGTGGCTCAGTTGTGTCTGACTCTTTGTGACCCCATTGCCTGAAGTACACCAGGCTTCCCTGTTCTTCACTATCTCCAGGAGCCTGCTCAAACTCATGTCCAATGAGGCAGTGATGCCATCCAACCATCTCATCCTCTGTCGGCCCCTTTTCCTCCTGCCCTCATCTTTGCCAGCAAAATCACTATGAACTGAACTGAAAGTCATTCAGTCATGTCTGACTCTCTGCGACCCCATGGACTGTAGCCCACCAGGCTCCTCTGTCCATGGAATTCTCCAGGCAAGAATACTAGAGTGGTTTGCCATGCCCTTCTCCAGGGAATCTTCCCCACCCAGGGATCGAACCTGGGTCTCCCACTTTGTGGGCATATTCTTTACCATCTGAGCTACCAGGGAAGCCCTTTTGATCACTACAATGAGTTTACATTACTGTTAATGATTGTGGGGAAATCACTTCAGTATGTATCCGCCTCCTTACCATCATGTCAGCATCAAACCACAATCATGATGTTTACAGATTTCACACACAGCACTGTTACCAGGCACTTGATGTCCCATGACTTGGAGGCGCCATCACAGACCTAGCAACACTGATCTATCATTGACCCCTGCACTGCTTCTGAGTAAGCACCTTCAAAAATACTTCTGCAGGACACAGCTTTATGTAAAGGACATAATTTCCTGAGTCTAAATGGACCTACAGAGCTGACTGGCAACACATTATCAGACTGTCTGCAGAGGGTCTAAATGTGACAACTTACCATGACATTAACAAACCACAACAACACGGCTTCTACTGCACCTCTAGTTCTATTGGATACCACCATTTGGGTTCTTATCATCAACTGAATTGAGAAAAACTCCATTTGTTTGATTTTTTAACTTTGTACTTCTTTGACAACTAGTGAGACTGAGTACTTTCAACATTTTTCCCTATAACTATTTTCTGGTTTACATGAGAGAACTTTACATTTGGATGAGCCAGTGGAAAGAGAGCCATAGTTTGATTTAGAAAACGTGTCCCCATCCAACTAAACCCAGCACCAGCTGTGGAGCCTTGAGCTATCTTAGGATACAGCTTTCTGATCTGAAAAAATAGGGATCACACCACTTCCTCATGGGGCTGCGCCAAAACTGGATTAGATAAGCTATTGTATCTCCTTTCTTTTTTAAGTCTTTCCCTGGAGCCCACAGCCCCTTCCAGAACCACCACCACCCTTTAAAGCAACCGCAAGAGCTGCCCACACTCACCACACTTGTCTCCTCGCCTCCATCTCCTCTGACCCATTCCAGTATGGGTTTTGTCCCTACTCTCCTCATATCTCCACCCACCCGGGTTGACAGTGGTTTCCACATGCCTCAACCCAATGGTCAATCATCAGCCAGCCCTCAATTCTCGGCCATTAATGAAATGAAGTCAGATCATATCTAAAACTGAAAGCCACTCAGTTGTGTCTGACTCTTTGCGACCCCATGGACTATACCCCACCAGGCTACATGGAATTTCCCAGGGAAAAATACTGGAGTTGGTTGCCATTCCCTTCTCCAGGGGATCTTCCCGAACCAAGGATTGAAGCCAGGTCTCCTCCACTGCAGGCAGATTCTTTACCCATCTGAGCCACCAGGGAAGCCCAGATCCTATTTGTCCCCTGCCTGAAAGCATTCCAGTGCTGCTATGGACTGAATTATGTACCCCTCCATTCATACATTGAAGTGTTAACCCCCAATGTGACTATATTTAGCGAGAGGGCCTTTAAAGAAGTAGCTAAGGTTAAGTGGGTTCATAAGGGTGGGGTCCTAGGCCAGTAGGATGGGTGTCCCTATAAGAAAAGGAAGCAACTTTGGAGTTCACCCTCTGTCCCCACACACACGCATGAAGGAAAGGCCATGGGAGGACACAGCTGTCCGCAAGCCAGGAAGAGAGGGCCTCCCCAGAACCCCACCATGGGGCCACTCTGACCTTGGACTCCCAGCCTCCAGAACTATGAGAAGATAAAACCTCTGTGGCTTAAGCACAGTCCGTGGTATTTTGCTACGGCAGCCTGAGCAAATAAACACAAGCTGTTCTCGCCGTGTCTGACATACAGACTTTTGACCTTAGCCTGAGGCCCTGCCGGCTCTCTGACAACACCCTCACTCTCAGGCTCTCACTGGGAGGTCTCCCTGGCTCCTGCTGACCTGGGGCGCCACGCTCCCACCCGCCCCTCAGCCCTTGCCCACCCCCCCCCAACTCTGCTTCCCTGAGATCTGCACAAGCCTGGCTCCCCCTCATCACTCAGGTCTCGACTCAGAGACACCTTTCCCGACGACCTGAATCAGCCAACAACCACCCACCCCACTCCCATTGCTTCTTTTCCTCTTGTTTACTGCATCTCTCTCCTACAGAATCCTTGAGGGCACAGTCTTTGTGGTATTCCTGCTGTATCTCTGCACCTAGAATGGCAGGGAAATCAATTTTGAAAAAAATATATATATCTGGTTGCATTGGGTCTTCGTTGTGGCACATGGGGTCTTAGTTCCCCAGCCCACGCCCTCTGCATTCCAAGGCAGATTCTTAACCACTGGATCACCAGGCAAGTCCCAGGAAGTCGTATTTGAATTCTCACTGCCATCCCAGCCCATTAGGTGATGACCACTGCAGTGACCTGACGACAGAGGCCGCCTTCAGAAGGGCTCTGAGTGAGGGTCCGTGATCAGGCCATGTGCACGTCCCTCCTTCAGCGATTATTCCACCAGTGGAATAATTATTCCACCGCGAAATGGGAGGGGACTCACCCAGCTGAACGAGATAGTAGACGGTCAGCAGGAGCTGCATCTCCTCCGAGATGGGCTGAATGGTGGAGGCCCCGTACTGCTCGTAGGCTCTGGAGATGGACTGCGAGTTCTGGTAGCACGTGTACAACAGGGGGCTTACGACCACGTCATTCAGGTTGCCGCAGAGGTAGGGGAAGTTCCCGTGGCCTGGGGGCGGGGGCACAGCATGGCTCGGCAACTGGCCTCAGGCACAACGCGTGGTCCCCATGTGTGCACGCGTGCGTGCTCAGTCGTATCCGACTCTTTGTGACCCCGTGGACCATAGCTCGCCAGGCTCCTCTGTCCATGGGATTCTCCAGACAAGAATACTGGAGGGGGTTGCCATGCCCTCCTCCAGGGAATCTTCCCCACCCAGGGATCGAACCTGCATCTCCTGTGCCTCCTGCATTGCAGGCAGATTCTTTACCACTGAGCCAGCAGGGAAGCCTGGGGGTCTCGGCATGAAAGGGAGTGAAAACATGCAGGCCAGCTGCACTTGAGGCAATTCAAGCTCCTTTGTGGGAAATCTTGAACTCTCAGCCCGTGATGGTTTGTGCACCTGATATCATAACTGACAGGGGCTGTAGCTTGTTCATTTGCTTATTTATGAATTTATGCTTATTATTATATGCTTATTATTTGCTTATAAATGAGTTTGCTTATTCATTTGCAGTCTCCACCTTTTTGGCACCAGGGACCAGTTACAGTTTTTCCACAGACCCAGGGTAGGGGTGGGATTATGGTTTGGGGATGATTCAAGAACATTACATTTACTGTGCACTTTATTTCTATTATTATTATATCAGCTCCACCTCCGATCATCGGGCATTAGATCCCAGACATTGAAGACCCCAGATTTAGTCCAATTTCTTATGTTACAGCCGAGCATACTAAGGCCCAGAGAGAATTACTAAAGCTGCTCAGCCATCACCTGTGCCTCCCAGCCCCCCAGGACTCCTCAATGAGCTAAGTTAGGAAAATAAACCACTGTACAGATCAGAGACTCCAAACACTGACAGAACTTGACAAATGCTTCAGCAAATGGTACAAGATTAATTCTGACGGCAGCCCTCAGGGGCAGGACAGCCCAGGCCAGATCTATTTATTAACTAGGTTACCCTCAGCAAGAAGCTTCACTTCCTCAAGCCTCGGTCTCTGCATGTGTAAAATGAGGTGAAGATATCGATCCCTCTTGTGGTTGCTGAGATGATTAAATGTGGTAAGTGCCTGCAGGGTACCGTGTACTCAGACGGCCTCCGTTTATTCACCAGACACACACTGAGTAGGCACCTGCTGTGTGCTGTGTGCAGGCACCACGCTCAGCGCCGGGGGAAATCTAGACTGGGACATAGTTCACAGCCTCAAGAAAATTGCTTCCCAAACCTGAGGGTGCGCTAGGGTCCCCTGAAAGGCTTCCTAAAACACAGACTGCCTGACCCCACCACAGAGCCTCTGATTCCAACTGGGGCCTGGTTCTGATTCTGGGATGGGTGGGCCTGGGAATTCACATCTTTATTGAGCTCCTGGGTGATGCTGTTTTTGCTGGTCCAGGAGCCACAATTTGGGGAGCACTGCTCACAAACATTCTGGTTTATCAGAGGCAACAGAAAGAATTACTCTTAGGGGAAGGATGTGACATTTGTCATAAAAGAGGCACAAAGATGCTACAGCAGGGCCCAGATAAAAGGGTTAGAACAAACGAACAAGCAAATGGTCGTCATGGAATAGGACCATCCCAAGGAAAACAGTGATGGGCTCTGAAACTTCTGGCATCTGATCAGCGGCCACCCCAGTGATCGGTCTGCTTGGTTCTCTCATTGCCCTGGAAATGGCTTTAGACATTTTCCCAGGAGGACAACTTGGAGTGGAGTCAGACTAGAATGATGTGTCATGTTGTCTGTTTCTCATGTATTCCCTGGGCTCCCTGACCTTCCACCCCATGGCCCACTGCTGTACTTGCCTTTAAAGATCACTGGCTTGGCCTTGCATATCTTCAACAAGTTGTCGGGAACGGACACTGGTTCTCCGGAGGCCACAACGGGAAAGGTGACTGAAGCTGGTCCCACCAAGCCAACCTGGGGCATGCAGGTCACACCTGCGCTTTCTAGGGACACGCCGAGAGCGTAAAGAGGATACGTCAGACAGGGCATCCACCTCCAGCAGACCTGACATCAGGCCGGTCAACACACCTGCTACAACTTGACCTTCTCTGCACCTCCAGGAGCACCCAAGTCTGGGAACCACAGGTTCCTGAGTCAAAAGATCTTAAAGATCACCGGGTCCCCCTTCCCCACCGAACAACCCAGTTTTCTCTTCAATGTCCCTGCCAAGTGACAAGCAATCCTTTTAGAAAAAATTCCTCTAAGATCAGGGAACTCAATACTGCCCAGGAATCCTGGGCTTTGTGAAGCAAGTCTAATACATGAGAAAGAGAATCTTTCGTTATACTCAAGTGTGCCTCCCTAGAACTTTCTCACCTGTACATATGAAAGCATGTGTGTACACATGCACACATGAACACGCACGTGCTCATACACACACATTCACAGACACACAATCACACACACACACACACACCACCAGGTCCCAAGCCTTGCATCCGGGGCTGGCTCCATCACTTACCATACTTGGCTCTGGTCCCCGCTCCCTGGGGGTAGCCACCGTCCGAAGCTGATGGAGATTCTGGAGACCAGCCTTTGTGGCGTTTTTTGGGGGGGCCGGAGTTTGATAAGATACCTAGACAACGTTCAGAGTGTGAATTAGGCTATCACCAAAGACATGCTTCAGCAAAATAGTCCCCTGAGCTGGAGAACACTTATTTTTTATTTTTTTTAAAGCACAGCTTTACAATGCATTTTAGCATCTAGTGCATTTTAGCTTCTCTAGTGGCTCACATGGTAAAGAATCTGCTTGTGATGCAAAAGAGCCCGTTTGATCCGGGTCTGAAAGATCCCCTGGAGGAGGACACAGCAACCAACTCCAGTATTCTTGCCCGGAGAATCCCATGGACAGAGGAGCCTGGTGGGCTACAGTCCATGGGGTTGCAAAGACTCGGACACGACTGAGCAACTAACCAAGTCTAGAGGAAGTATCTAGGCTTAAAGAAATATCCTGTCGACCTCTATAAATGTTTCATTCCAAAGCTGTGTCAGTGTCTAAGCTTTAGCTCTCCGAGCCTTACCTCCTTCATCATTACCATGGGATCATAAAACCTACTCTGAAAGGTGACTTGATCAAGACTAAAGAGAATATATTTAAGGCACAAAATTTGGGGCCAATAAATGGTAGCCACCAAGTCCAGATCCTCCCTTCTCCAGGGGATCTTCCCAATCCAGGGATTGAACCCAGGTCTCTCACACTGCAGGTGGGTTCTTTACCAACTGAGCCACCAGGAAAGCCCAAGAATACTGGAGTGGGTAGCCTATCCCTTCTCCAGTGGGTCTTTCCGACCCAGGAATCGAACCCAGGTCTCCCACACTGCAGGCAGATTCTTTATGTCTGAACTACAGGGAAGTCCATCATCATCTCCACATTCGAGTAAATTAATACTTGTTTCTGTAGACAAGCCCCAGCAGCAGTCAACCCACCACCACAGTTTCACCACTCGGGGGCAGTACCGATCCACCTGTGTACCTCTCCCCACCCCAGCCCTGAAAGCTAATTTCAGGCTAAAAAAATCCAGGGGAACAGAAGCTGGTACCCACTGCCACTAATGAGTCATCCTGCCCACGCCAGAACAGCGTGAGCGTGACTCATGCTCTGTTCTTGGATTCTTCAAAATACCAAGAACTGGTTACCACATTTTTGGGGACCAACCTGACACAAAATTTCCCTTACCTTTAGCGCTCTATGTTCAACCATGATGCATTATATAAAGTTTAAACTTTAAAACACTCTATTCCTGGATGCAACCCTCTCCCAAGGAAATCAGGACCCCAGCATGTCCACACACCTCCCGATGACCAACCCCACCTCCCATCCCCGCCCCAAGCTCCTGGTGATTCTAAACCACAACCAGGGTTGAGAACCACTGGTTTAGAGCAGCGTTTCTCCAAATCTAGCCAGAGACAAAGCTGGACAGAGCCAGGAGGAGCTTGTTCCAAGCGTCTGCTCCTGGGCACACCTCAACCTACAGAAGCAGATCTCCAGAAATGAAAGGAAACACTTAGCCACAAGCACCCCGCTTGTGCTTAGACGTGCTGCAGTTTGAGAATTATTGCTTCCGAGTCTCTTAAAAATAACCCAAAGTTATTTTCGCCTCTTCTTTAGACCGACTGAAAATGAATGAAACGAAGTGAATAAAACATTTAAAGACATGAAGTTCTTTGCTTGCAAAGAGCTTTCCCATAGGTGGGCTCCTCTGACCCCCGCAACCTCTGCGGCAGCTTCTGTCACCTTGATGTCATTTAGAACCACATCTTTGTTTCCCCACACATCTGTCCTCAAGAGCAGGGAAGAGTTCCCACACAGGAGATGCCGGCTCCTCTAAAAGCCACGTTAAACTACCAGAGGAGGAAGGGCAATGGGATGGGGCCTCAGTATAAAGGCAGAAGGTCTGCAGGTGTTTTCTTCCTTTGGGGTGCTAACTGCCTCTACACGGACTCTAAACTCCTCATGCGTGCGTGCTAAGTCACTTCTGTTGTGTCTAATGTTATGGCCCTATGGACTGTAGCCCGCCAGGCTCCTCTGTCCATGGGGATTCTCCAGGTAAGAATACTGGAGTGGGTTGCCATGCCCTCCTCCAGAGGATCTTCCCCAAAGCTTTCCCAAAACGATGTCACCAGGAGCTGCCCCTGTGGACCAACCATTTCTGGCCATGTGTCCTGGTGCTGGGAAGGGGGACCCTATTTGGCATTTGGAGAGAGACAAGCCTTCACTGTAGCCCACTCCCTGCAGGCACTGCAACACCCAGACCCCAAGCTGGGACTACGCAGAAAGGGATTCTGCACATTTCCTACCTCCCCCTCCCCACCCCAGCCCCACCCCGTCCCATCCCATTGGGGGCAGCATTTTCGCTGATAACCACTGAGCCCCCAAATCCTTGTCACACACTCCGTGTAGCTTCAGAAGCGGTTTCTTGAAACAGAGGCCACCCTGCCCAGAGCAGGCCTCAGGCACGGGACTCCGAGGCTCCAGCTGTGCCCTTAATGGTGCAAGCCCCCTGTCTCTACCAGCACCCATTGCATCCTCCAGGCCAGGCTCCACGGAGTAACTGGGCTCCCAGGACTCGTGACAATGACTGTTCCTGGGAACGTCACCAGCCCAGAGGGCGACAGATCACCACTCATAACGGGCTCCCACTTCGTCCTGGCGCACACCCATCACCCAGATTGGGGGCAGAAGCCATGTGCCTACCTACCTGCAGCACTGGAGGCTGGACACACTCCCAGAGACTCGCCCAGCACTGGAGGCTGGACACACTCCCAGAGATGCAGGAGGTGCCTGCTGATCCAGCCTGACTCATTCCAACTCCAGGAGGCTCAGGGGACCAGGCGCGGTGGCTCCCGTGCCCCAACCTGCCACCGCCTTGGCCCAGAGCAGATCAAGCGCCCCCCGCCTCCTCCGAACAGGACGGTCAAGGTTACCTAAGGCCGAGGGGCGCGGCACTGCAGACAGGCGATTCTTCACCAGCGGCTGGTGCTTCGGGGAATCTTTGCCGTTGAAAACAGCTGGACCCAGGGCAGCAGTTAGGGTGGAGTGATCGGGGGCTGGTCCTGAGAGCAGAGACAAAGAGGGGAGACCATGGGACACTCTGGGAGCCCAGCAAGCAGGAAACGGCTCTCCCTCTGTTTAACAAATTAGCTTTCCACTGATGCGGCCCATCAGGGGTCAGGACTTTTGACAGTGATTCTGTCCACCTCCAGCCTCCCGAGAAAGCAGACACACATGGACAGGCACACACACACACGCACACACGTGCACACACAGGACACACGCTCCCACACATGCTCCACTGAGCACTCCTGGTGAGAGAAGGGCCCATGGGGGTCCCAGGATTCCAGGAGCACCCCTGCACCTGCTCCACTCTCCTCCCACTCTCTTGCTCACCCTCCCGGGTTCAGGGTCACGTCAAACATGCTCAGGAAAGCAGTCGGGTTTGCCGTCGCCCAGGGTCAGGCTACGTATAGGATCTGGGGCTCCCCAGGCCTCTGCAGGATTCTGGGGGCAATTGTGGGCTCTGCTCTAAGTCACCGACATGGGCCAGAATGGTATGGAGGGTACTCCAGAGTCAGGAGGAGCACCGAACATCCCCTATGTCGAGGTGGCGGCTCTGAAGCCAGACGACCCCTGTCTGAGCCCCACGCTGCCTTGAACTCGCGGTGCAACCTTCCTGAACGTTACACCCCCTCCCTGTGCATCCACCTTCTCATCTAGAGGGTGGGGGTAATATTAGAGCCACTGTGAGGATGACGGGAGTTAACAGAAGGTTGCAAGCAGTAAGTATTTGCTATCACTGTCATCACGTTTAATTTTTATAATCACCCTGCAAATTAGACAGAAAAGATTCTCTCCAAGTGTACAGAGGAAACGGAGAGTCACAGAGTTAAAATGAGCTGCCCCAAATCTCTCAGCGAGGAGGCGGCAGCACTGGAAGGGGGACAGGGGGCCTCTGGAGGGAGTGCATTCCCCGCTCAGCCTTTTCGCTGTGGTTGCTGAACCACGTGCAGCAGGGGCCCAGGGCCCCTCAGCAGACCCCCCTGGGCAGGAGGACCCCCCAACCACCAACCCCCCGCCAGAGCCCTTGGGAAGGAGGTTGCTGTCTACTTGCCATCAGCTGTCGTGCTTATCAGGTGTGTTTTGCTTGGTCGAGGCCAAGTTCACGAAGCAGAAATACCTGCTATCAAACCCTACTGCCCATGATAGCCTAGGCAAGCATCTTCGCGCCTCCATTTTTCAGTTGGGGAAACTAAAACCGACTCCCAGCACCTCCAGCTCTGTGCCACCGCCTCACCTGCCTGCGGGGCTCCCAGCGGGGCGCTCGGGGTTGTCCCAGGACCAGGCTCGCCGGGGAAGGGGGCCGGCGGCCCAGAGCTGTCCAGCGGCGGGAACAGAGAGCTGGAGCACGCACCCACGGACGCCTGCCGGCTTCTGAACTCTGCGGGGGAAGAGGCACTCGTGACAGGCAGCTCCTGCTCCTCCCCAACAGGGACCAATAACTTCCGAGGCCAGAACTCGGCCTGCGGGAGAGCCAGGCGCCGAGATAACCGCAAGGGTGCCAACGCCTTCCCCGTTACTGCTTAGGTGCAGTCAGCGGGGCTGGGATGGGGGCCATTCCCCAGGCTCAGTCTCTGGAGAAGCCACTTGAGGGACTGTCCTCTTGCCAGCAGCAGGAGCAGTGGTGACCATTTGGGAAGAAGGGAAAAACACATGATGCAAACAAGAGCTCCAAGTCCAGGGACGAACAGCATTACAGGAAAAACACATGATGCAAATGAAAGCTTCAAGTCCGAGAGACGAACAGCATTACTCAAAGCTGAAGGAACAGCTGGGCTTCCCTGGTGGCCCAGACGGAAAGACTCTGCCTTCAATGTAGGAGACCCGGGCTCCATCCCTGGGTCTGAACAATCCCCTGGAGGAGGGCATGGCAACCCACTCCAGTATTCTTGCCTGGGGAATTTCACAGACAGAGAAGCCTGGCGGGCTGCAGTCCATGGGGTCTCAAAGAGTCGGACACGACTGAGCGACTAACACAACAATAACAAAGGCAGAGCTAATACTTTCCTCCACCCCCTAAATCACTCTCCGTTGGGAAGATTACCGTCTCCAGAGCTGACTGCAGCCAGAAGGATACAGGGCGACAGAAGAGAAGGATGGAGGGAGGCCCTTCCTAAAGCTGGAGCCCGCTCTCTTCTGCCAGCCCCAGCCTCAGGGAGCTGATCTTTTCTGTTCGTGGTTGACAGGGCTGCGGGGCAGGGAGGCAGGGTCTCTGGGCTGAGCTTTCTCTAAGTCGGGGCTTCTCAACTTCAGCACCATTGACAGTGGGCTGCACAATTCTCTGCGGAAGGCTGCCCCAGGCACAGCATCCTTGGCCTCCACCTATGAGATGCCAGGGGCTCCCTGCCATCACAATGGTTAACAGTGTTTCCAGACATCGCCAAATATCCCTGGGGGAAAGAATCACCCCCGGTTGAGAATCTTGTCCCAGATACTTACCACAAGAAGACCCCACACCGTGTGGCCCTCTGTCAGCGTTCAAAGCACCCATACAATTAGACTGATGCTATAAACTGGACACCCAGAGGGCGACACTGCATTTTGATTTCGTAGGGCTGACCTCTTGCCCACCACGTGCACTGCAGAGCAGTCTCAGCCCAGAGTCAGGCCAACAGGCCCCTGGCTGGCCTGGAGGTGCCCCCTTCACATGGCCCACCCCACAGAGCTTGCTCACCTGAGCCTTTCCAGCAAATGAGAGGTCCTTTGGTCAGAGCCCCCTGGGCATTGCGGACCAGGTAGTACTTCAAGTGTTTCTGCTTCTTGGGCTGCGTGGTCAGCTTCAGGTTGATGTGATTAGAGAATTCCGTGAAGTAACAGAAGCCCTTCTTGCCACAGCCCACACAATTCCCAGAGAAACCTGGGGGAGCAAACAAACCATGATCATCCCCCCCGACACCCAAGACCCCCCCAGTGAACCACTGTTCACTACACGTTCACGTCCTGAACCACCAACCAGAGAGGTCCAGGAGGCAAAGGTCGCTGTCAACTCACGCAGGTCCAGGGGTCAAGATGACCTTGACACAAATAAAACACCTTAACCAAGGAGACGCTGGGTCACAGAGATGAGCCCAGGCAAGCATGGAAGACGGCACTTGCTTAGGGGCACATTTAAAGCCTGTGCCTCCTATGGGACAGGATAAGAACCATCCCATTCATCTGTCCACACTAACTGAGCACCTGCAATAATGTGGTGTGTCCCCATGGTCTTTGGGCTTCTCAGATGGTGCTTGTGGTAAAGAAACCACCTGCCAATGCCAGAGACATGAGAGATGCAGGTTCGATCCCTGGGCCAGGAAGATCCCCTGGAGGAGGTCATGACAACCCACTCCAGTGTTCTTACCGGAAAATCTCATGGATAGAGGAGCATCATGGGCTATAGTCCATAGGGTCACAAAAGAGTCAGACATGACTTAGTGAATAAACAATAAATGTTTATACTGTAGTCCAACACATGAATTAAGGAATTATTTGATGTTTGAGCATCACCAGCAGAAATGAAATGACTATATTCTGTGTATGTAATATGCACACAAAGTGTTTCTAGTTGGTGGGGATGGAGGTGGAGGGAAGAGCTTTGATTAAAGTATAAGTAAGTACAAGCCTTAAGTACTTGAAATTATGTTTCCCAGGTGGTTCAGGGGTAACAAAACTGCCTGCCAAGGCAGGAGACACGGGTTCAACTCCTGGGTGGAGAAGATCCCCTGGAGAAGGAAATGGCAACCCACTCCATATTCTTGCCTGGAGAATCCTATGGACAGAGGCGCCTGGCGGGCTATAGCCCATAGCATCGCAAAGAGTCGGACACGACTCAAGTGACTTAGCACACACACCCCATGGTCTTCAGCGCCAGCCAATCACAGAATCTCAAAGCAATTAGACCACTGAGACTGCATACACTAAGAGCCCTCTTGAGAGTCCAAAATTCCCTCCAGGAATCAAGGAAGTAGACCCCACGAGTAGCAGAAATCAAGCGCTTCACCACAGGTGGCCAGGATTGTGGCGAGTGAAATCTGGGCCCAGCAGCTGTGGTGAAGCCTCTCATCTAGAAGTTGACTGCTTGTACCAGTTCCTGCTGCCCGAGACCAAGGGAGCCTTTCTGGGAGACCACAGAGCACATCTCTGAGGCTCTGGGGAGGCTGCCTTCCAGAGGGGATAACAAAACCAGCTCTTATGAACTATTAAAATCCAGAGAACATGCTTAAAAGACTCATACAAACCATGAAGTCCATTTAGACTGGACTCAATAGAACTGTTGGTTAATACAAGAAAAACGTGATGGTTTAGCTTTTGTACCTGGTAGACTGTTCTGCTTTAAGCTCACTGTCTCGCAAAGGCCTTCCCTATGACCTTGCCTTGCTCACTGGTACGTCTGGTTTCTATGCAACCAAGTCTTTTGGCAGGAGAGACCCTGAAGCTGAGACTAATTTGTTTTATCTTATCCTCTGGCTGACAAGTTTACAAAGGGCATCTTGATATAGGCCAGGAGGGCCAAAGGGTTTTGTGCATAAGCTCTGCTTTTAAAGGGGATAGTCCTGAGGCCTCTGGCTACTACTGTCCAAGATAACAGCAGTTAGTAAAGGTTCAAAACATTTCCCCATAGAGAAAGAAGATGTCTATATTACAAAAATATGGCGGACTTCATTTTCTCGGGCTCCAAAATCTCTGCAGACAGTGACTGCAGCTATGAAATTAAAAGACACTTGCTCCTGGAAGAAAAGCTAGACAAACCTAGATACCAAGTTAAAAAGCAGAGACATCACTTTGCTGACAAAGGTCTGAATAGTCAAAGCTATGGTTTTTCCAGTAATCATGTACGGATGTGAAAGTTGGACCACAAACAAGGTTGAGAGCTGAGGAATTGGTGCTTTCGAATTGTGGTGTTGGAGAAGACTCTTGAGGGCTCCTTGGCTAGCAAGGAGATCCAACCAGTCCATCCTAAAGGAAATAAACCCTGAATATTCATTAGAAGGACTGATGCTGAAGCTGAAGCTCCAATCCTTTGGCCACCTGATGCGAAGAGCCAACTCACTGGAAAAGACCCTGATGCTAGGAAAGATTGAAGGTGAAAGCAGAAGGGGGTGTCAGAGATGAGATGGTTAGATAGCATCACCGACTCAATGGATAAGAATCTGAGAAAACTCTGGGAGATAGTGAAGGACAGGGGAGCTTGGCATGGTGCAGTCCATGCAGTCACAAAGAGTCAGACATGACTTAGCAACCAAACAACAAACATTACAGAAACCTGGATTTTCGCTCTATTGTAAGCAAGTTTAATACTCCTTAAAAGGCATTAAAAATAAGGACAAATCTCTTGGTCTAAGAAGGCAGGCACAGGTTAGTTTTTCCTTCCAGATACCTATCCCCTCTATACTGAACAGATTCAGTTCAGTTCAGTTCAGTCTCTCAGTTGTGTCCAACTCTTTGTGACCCCATGGACTGCAGCACGCCAAGCCTCCCTGTCCATCACCAACTCCCAGAGTTTACTCAAGCTCAGGTCCACTGAGTCAGTGATGCCATCCAACCATCTCATCCTTTGTCATCCTTTTCTCCTCCTGCCTTCAATCTTTCCCAGCATCAGGGTCTTTTCCAATGAGACAGCTCTTCGCATCATGTGGCCAAAGGATTAGAGTTTCAGCTTTAGCATCAGTCCTTCCAATGAATGCTCAGGACTGAATCCCTCCTGAATAGATTAAGGTACCAAAAAAATGTCAACATGGTGCTCTAAGTTTACTTGTTGTCAGAGGGACATGAAGGAAACTGACATGCAGAGAAAACCAACGGTGTTCTTGCCACTCACTCTCGTCCAGATGGAGCACCCAGCTTAACTGAGGCAACCACCAGTTGGTCAGGACAGCTAAACCTTCCTTGGGGAAACCTGAGAACCAGAGGGGCTAAGTGGTTGTCCAGAGTAGATCCAGAGAGTGATGCATTCAATTCTAGCGTGAGAACGCAGTGTGGATGCACAAGCATGCCCTCCAGGGCTGCCCCCAATGCCTACCACTCCCATCTCCTGCTTAATCTCCCATCCCTCCTACTGCTATGCCGGGACTTTATACTGCTGACAGTTCTTATAACTTCTTCCTTAGTGTTAGAGTTATTAACATCTGTATTTTCCCCTATAACTATCCCTATCCTTCCACAGGATCAGGAGCATGTATGTCCACAGGGAGGTATGGGTTGTATCTGTGTGCATTAGTTTACGTATACAAACTAGTGCCCAGAACAGGAGAAACAGTCAGCAAACGCTGGGAGGGAAGGAGGAGAGAGGAGATAAAGCAACTAGCAGAGTGAACACTTAGCCTCTCTGCACACGCTTTGATGTGCTTTTATCTTCTAATGTTTTCATGTTTCTAATGCTTCCTAGTTTATAATCTAATGTTTTTATTTTTTCTTTTGTCTCCAACCTGAGAACCTTGAGCAGTGCAACTGCCATCCAAGAATGAGGCCCTGAGAAACCTTCCAAGCTCCCTGGAAGGGATCCTGACCCTGAGATCAAACAAAAGACAATGAATAAGAAACAGAACTGCAAATCCAAGGATGCTCCAAGCACCTCACCAAGGCCAGCACTGCCATCCCTTCCCAGAAACAGCTAAACAGGTTACAGGCCTTCATCCCATGACAAATGTGAGCTGTGGGACAATGGCTCCATTCTGGAGGCAGGGAGGGAGGGCCACAGACCAGAAGGGGCTCCTCCTTGTGGTTCAGAAATCAAAGTGGAAACCTTGGCCCTCCCGGGGCAGTAAGGACAGGCACACCTCATTCTATTGCGCATGCCTTTGTTTCTTCATATCTCAGTGCTGGGTAGTAACACACCTCACTCACTCAATCCATTTTAACTCCAGCAGTCATTGGCACATGAGAAGTAATCAGTACAGTGGCTGCTATTTAGATTCACTTGCTGCCGCTGTCTTTCTCCAACTGGTAATCCACCCATTTTTCAGGACCCAAGTGCGTCACTGGTGACACCCTCTGAGACACTCTCATCCAGAAATCAGTGCATCCTTGGGGATCCCACAGCATCTTAAGCTCTCGGTGGGAGCCTGCTGCCCAGAGATTTCCCAGAAGTTCAATTTCTGTGGCCATGCATGTGGATCTCTGAAGGAAGTCTTGGTTGGCCTGTGTCCTCCCATGGCCCTGAGCTTCCAGGAAGGACCAAGTGCCACTTGGCTTTGGGGCCCCAGGCTGAACTTAAAGTCCACCTTCAGTTATTTATTACTATGAATAATAATAAACATAATTATTTGCCTGCCAGATGAACAAATGGCTCATTTACTCTCATCTCAGAAATGAACATTCCAGCTGTAATAGATGGAAGCTTCCCAGGTGGTGCTAGTGGAAAAGAACCTGCCAGCCAGTGCAGGAGATGTAAGAGACACGGGTTCGATCCCTGGGTCAGGAAGATTCCCCTGGAGGAGGACCCGGCAACCCACTCCAGTATTCTTGCCTGGAGAATCCCATGGACAAAGGAGCTTGGTAGGCTACGTGCATGGGGTCACAAAGAGTCAGACGCAACTAAAGCGACTTAGCAAGCACATGCACAGCTGTTAATAGATGGTTTCCTCTCCTTCATCTTAGCCATCAGCTAGTTTCAGTGAATTACTAGCAGACAACTGGAACACACACCTACATTTTAGTCTTTTCACTTTCACAGACTGAAATCTCTCAGTTGATTCAAAGTCACTAAAACCAGCACTCCTTTCGCTATAAATTATGGGGGGGGGGGGGGCGGGGCGGGGGTTTTAAAGCTGTTGCTTTCTCCTAAGATACTCCAGAGCCTCCCCTTTATAGGTCACTAAAAAGTGCTGAGTCCCGGCCTCAGAGGGGTGCTGGGCCAGCGTGCTCTGTGCAGCCATCAGGGTTAATTGCAGGAAACCTAAACAGTGCTAAGTGTGCAAGCTGAGAGTATAAAGTTATTTTAAAAGAAGAAAGCATGGGTTATTACCAGCCGGCCCTTGTTACCCACCTCCGATGGCTTTTTGGCAAGCAATTAACAAAGACCCCACTTCCTCTACGCTCCCCACCCGAGGGGCTGAAGCTGTTCCCAGGACAGTGGTGAATGAACTGAAAGATTCTTGCCTCTGCATTTCGAGACATAGAGCCTCCTAGATTTACTGCCCTCACAATTCCTTTACAGTCACAAAGGGAAGGAATTCAGGCAAGCTCCCAGCCACGGCCAGATCAAACGCTAACCAAGTCACCAGTCCGTCTTCCCCACTCATTCTGTCCTGAGCGGCCTTGATAAGCAAATTCACTCTGAGATGCAATGACTCAGATGCAATGAGCTTCCTTGGTGGAGTAAATTTCCTAGATTATTCTTGCTTTCAAAAACTGGTTAAAATAAGCACATAGAACTGCCTTAAGAAAAAATCTGCCAAAACCTTTTCTCCCGCTGGTCATTGCCCCAGAGTTGTGTCTGTCCCTCCAGTGAGCAGTCATCTGCCAGGTTTCAGAGTGTACACACCATCATGCCCCCCCGGCCCTCGTGGCAGGAACCATTTCTTTTTCTTCTCTGGGTCAAGCCTTGCTCTCCCACCTCCATCCTTCAGTCCTTTGCACAGAGACTCACCTTCAGTCCTTTGCACAGAGATTCAGACATAAATGTCCTCAATAAATATCCACTAAAGTGTGTAGGAGATCCAACAGTCCATCCTAAAGGAAATCAGTCCTGAATATTCATTGGAAGGACTGACGCTGAAGTTGAAACTCCAATACTTGGGCCACCTGATGCGAAGAACTGACTTATTGGAAAAGACCCTGATGCTGGGAAAGATTGAAGGCAGGAGGAGAAGGGGACGACAGAGAATGAGATGGTTGGATGGCATCATCGACTCAATGGACATGAGTTTGAGTAAACTCTGGGGGTTGGTGATGAACAGGGAGGCCTGGCGTGCTGCAGTCCACGGGGTCGCAAAGAGTCGGACACAACTGAGCAAGTGAATTGAACTGAAAGTGTGTCTACCTACCCAGATTTGGGGGCATATCAAGTGTAAAACTGAGGTTTAAGTGTTTTTCCACAGGGAAAGCACAGAAGGAATTGGGGGCCAGCAGGAGAAGTTTAACCTAGAAGTTTTTCCCATAAACTCTCACAGTCAAACTTGCTTCTGCCATGAAGATTGTTTCTGAGGCTACATCTCGGCTAGACAGATCAGTACCAGCCCTCCTGCCTGCCCAGCTCTCCTGCCAAGGAGACGCCAGGCCAGGGTGATGGGCCATATGGAAAGCACTTGCCCACTCTCTGGACGAGGACACGGAAGCCCAGGGTCACACAGCAGCCTGTGGTCAGACACGGGGCTGGAGCCAGCTCACTGAGCTCTCGGTCCAAACCTATTTTGCTCCCCCTTTTGCTCCACTTATGGGGGAGTGTGCTGAGCTCAGGGTCAGGCATTCAGTAAGAGCTCAATAAATGTTTGAACCAACAGGAGACAGGCTTGGTATGGCTTGGCCTCGACTCTGCACTGACACTGGGGATCCCATGGGCCAGTGGTGGTTCCAAAGTTCAAAACTACAGCTTCCTTAGGCTGAGCCTGACCCACTGAGGGCCTGTGGGGTGCAGTAGCTAAAGGAACGATACGGAGCCAGGAAGACCTGAATCTGAATCCTGGACGCATCCCTTTACTCACACACCCTCAGGCAAGTTCATTAACAGGTCCAAGGCGACCTTGACTGGTGGGAGGCAAAAGGTAAAGCAAAGAAGAGACCGGTAGAGGGTGCCGGGCAGTCACTCGGAACAGGACTGTCCTGGTCAGGGGGACACATGCTCAGCCTTATTCTCCTCCTGCCACGTGTCTGCTGGCCTCTGAGAGCATCTCGGATGGGGTCTGGATTACATTCCCAACACAGGTAGGCACTTAGGAAAGTTCTGATGAACACATTTACCAAAAAAAGCAGTACTAACTGACAGGCTTTCTACAGGAAAGTTGTCACATTATTTTTACACTATTCATTTTATTTTTTGGCCATGCTACACAGTATCATGTAGTTCCCCAACCAAGGATCAAACTCGCGTCCCCTGCACTGGAAGTACAGACTCTCAATCCCCGGACCACCAGGGAAAGCTCCAGGTAGTCACATTTTAAAACAAATCTCATTCGTATTCCACTCCACAAAGAAAGAGGCCACAGAATGAGGACAGAACGGGGTTGTGGGATGTGCTGACGAACAGGCCGAAAGGAGGCCCTCCTTGTCCCCACCCATCATGCAGCCTGAGCTGCAGAGCGGGGCCCAGGAAGAGCTCACCGAGAAGGGCGTTGTGCCCGTTGCCATCCGGCAGGAACCTCTTGTCCACGGCACACACCAGGAGATGGTCGGGCAGGCTGGGGGACTTGGCGCCCACCAGGAGGAAGCCCACGGGGACGTCGATGGGCTCACTGGAGATGGAGACCAGACGCAGGTCCTTCCCGGCCTGGCAAAACCCTAGGGGGGATGGACAGGGCTCACATGCCGTCCAGCGAGTGGCCCCACACAACCAGGATCCACGCGGGCAAAGCTGGAAAACAGTCTGGATTTTATCAGCAACCACCCTCACCCCTGGACCGGGCTTGACTCTAAAATTAATTCTGAGAACATTATTAGGTATGTTATCCTTACATGCGCTTCACTTGCCAGTTACCATGATTCACAACAATAAAGTGACTGGGCAGAATAAAAAAATAAAATGAATAAAAGTAATTCTGAGAGATCAAATTATAACCATCGTCATTCATGACATTTAACTACTTGCTGTTTTTATGACTACTGGTGTTACCGTACAATACACATACAAGAATGTACAAATGAAGGTCAACTGGAGAAATGGGTAGACAAGTGATGGTAAATTAAAATGTGGATGAAAAATTTATAAGGGACTTCGAGTAATTTGATGTCTTTTCCACCCTGCAGTTAACATGTATGAGGCACAAGCCAAGGGCAGGAATTCAGGCTGACGACCCGGTAATGATGGTCTCAGAGAAGTCACATCAGCAGAGGAGGACCCTAGGCACTTGAACTTTTTGTATTTTAGAGCATTTAAACGTCTGTGCATGTGGTTAGTCGCTTCAGTCAAGTCTGACTCTTTACTACCCCATGGACTGTAGCCCGCCAGGCTCCTCTGTCCATGGGATTCTCCAGGTAAGAATACTGGAGTGGGTTGCCATGCACTCCTCCAGGGGACTTCCCAATCCAGGAATCAAACCCTCGTCTCTTTACAGATGCTTTACCACTAGCGCTACTTGGGAAGCCCTTAAACATGCTTCTTCTTTAAAAATTAAGTGTCCAGAAATACTTAGGGAAAAAAGGAAGAAGAGAGAAACAGCTGAGATTTATCTGGATGGACCTTTTCTGGGAATCTCTCTCCCCGAAGGCACAACTGGCCCCAGGCCCTGTGTTTTTCCATCTTTAATGACCAACAGGGATGACATGGGCTAATGTGAACTCTGAGACCCCGAGGCCTTCCCTGCAAACCCAGAAGGTATTTATACCTTAGTAAGATTCTCCTCCAGGGACATCTGCTTTACCATTTTCAAGGCACTGGCTCCTAGTTGTCCTGTCTGCTTCGGGGCAAAGCAGGAAGCAGGAAGTAATACCCACTGTGTGTGGTACCAAGTGGGAGAAGCCCTGGAAAGCTTTCATTTGATCATCTTTGGGCAGGTGGTCCTGCCCTTAGTTTGCAGACACAGAAATTGAGGCTCAGAGAAGTTAAATCATTTACTCAAAGCTTCTGAGAGGGGGGCCAGGATGGAGCCAGGTCTGGCTCTCAAGTATGGGGTGGTTCCCCTTCATCCATCATCTTGGGGACATGGGCTTGGCTCACAGCTCGGGGGGCTCTCAGCACACAGCCCAGCGGGCATCTCACCGTCCGTGGTGCAGCATCCTTCAGGCGGGGGATGCATCTGGTAGGGGTTTGGGGGACAGTTCTGTTCCAGCCCCCCGTCCCCTTCCTCTTCCTCTTCTTCATTGTCCACTCGGCTTCCACCTAGACGTGGAATAGAGGAGTGATGACCAAGGCACAAGTGAGTACACAGTGAGCCCTAGTTAGTTAGGAATTAACCAGTCCTCAGAGACACTGTTTAAGCTGGGCACTATCACCCTTCTTCACTAGGGGCGAGGGCCGAGGCTCACTCAGACCGGATGTCTTTCCCAAGGTCACAGACTCTGGCTCCAAGCCTGGCCATGTGACTTCAAATACAGGTCCACATCCCCTCCCAGCGCTCACAGCTGGATATATCTGCATGAGCAACAGGGCTCAGTATGTATACAGTTGCTGACAAGGACCGACAATGAAGTCGACACACAGCAGGCACTCCAACAACAGCTGTGTGGGAAGAACTACAGTGTAACCCAGGGACCATTTTACAGATAAGGAAACTGAGGTTCAGAGAGACCCAGTGATTCAACCACCTGCTAAGCAACACAGCCAGCCTGCTCCCAGCTGTATCTGGCGCCCAAGCTGCTGTCCTTGTCGTAAACTGCATCACTTGGTTTAGAACCCGAAATACAGTGTGAACAGCCTTTACATTGAAAAAGACAGGAGTCAAACTACATGCTGTTATTTATCCCCAAGGGAACACTAGATGTATACATTATTAGCAATATAAACACACCAGAAGTTGTCACATGCACAAAACGAGCCAGCACAGGGCCAGGCCCTCTCAGCGACTTTATGACTATAGGAAACTTTTCTTTTTAAGTGAAATAGCATTTTAGGACTAATGGCAAATGTGGAACGGGCCAGGAGAGCCAGCAACTGGCCAGGGAAACCCCACTCTCCTCGTGCGTGCTCTCCATCTCCGCAGCAGAGGAACTGGCCTTCCTCACATGGTCAGCTCCTGGGGGGCCGGGGGCCCTGGGTTATTCAGGAATCTAGGCCCCCAGCAGAATGTCCCACACACACAGAGGCAGCACTCGGGAAACCACTGAGTTAGCCAAAAAGTTTATTCCTGTTTTTTTCCGGATCATTGTAATTCCCCATCATTTGGAGTATACACAGAGTGCACACACGCACACACACACACATACACACATCCCTTATTTACCCAGCCTGCTAGAGCAAAAGGGTTCCACATCAGTGAATTTTCAAATTTCTTTTAAGAGGTGTTTTGGGTAAAAAGTCTTTCTCAAATTGCCTATCTTTAAATGCCACTTAATAAATAGCACCCAGATTTCTTCACACAGGAGGGCTGTTACAAGCATCCTTACATACCTGAGGCCAGGGACAGCTGCTTCTTTCTTTCCTGTGTCTCCTGTCTCTTCCCCTTGCACCAGTCCCTTTGCTGCCATTTCTTCTACTCTCACCTCCCTTGGCTCTCAACCCATCCATTCAGTGTGGGACGTGTTTTCCGGTCAATGATGAAATCTTGTGCAGCAGAAAAACAGACTAGGAATCTGGGAACTCACAGTTTTAGTCCCTGGATCTGCCATTGTCTGTGTGGCCACAGGAAAGTTACTCAACCTCTCTGTGCGTCAAACCCTGCCTCTTTAAGATGAGGTGGTTATAGAAGGTCACCTCGAGCTGTGAGTCTTTGTGGGGAAATATGGCCCTCAGCATTGCACAGAACATTCCAAGGGTGATTTAATCAGTACAGCATGCTGGGAGCACAACCTCAGGGTATTCACCATTTTAAAGGTGTTAGTCGCTCAGCTGTGTCCGAATCTTTGTGACCCCGTGGACTGTAGCCCGCCAGCCTCCTCTGTCCTTGGGATTCTCCAGGCATGAATACTGGAGTAGGTTGTCATTCCCTTCTCCAGGGGATCTTCCTGACCCAGGGATCAAACCTGGGTCTCCTGCATTATAGGCAGATTCTTTACCATCTGAGCCACCAGGGAAGCCTTATTTTAAAGGTGCCAGAAGGGACAAGAAGCAGAAGAAACAACATTTCGGGCCAGCCCAGGCCCATGACCTTGGGAAGGTCACAGCAGGAAGTAAGCAAGAATTCCTAGTGTCTCCCTCCCTCTAGGGCTGGAGGACAGAGGTGGTGGGGAGACTGTAAAAAGATTACCCAGGAAGAACACAAAGGGGGTTGGAGGGATAAACACCGGAGCCTCTTTCAGGCGCTTCCTTCCTGCCACTAAATGCAGGCGTGGCTGGTTTCAGCAGAAGGTATAGAGTCACGCCGAGACCCCAGGCACCACCCACGCAGCGCAGTCCCCACGGGGCCTCAAACCACCCTTTAGCTGCCTACAGAGTGGGTGGCTTGGAAGGCTCTGCAAAATCAAGATTAGTCTGTGAACCAGGGACTCACCTCCAAGGGCTCAGCAGGGGGACAGCAAAGAGCCAACAATTAGAGTGAAAAGGGGAGAGAAAGCCAGGCTTTCAGAGCTCAGAGGGCACGCACAGGAATGTCTGCATGTTTATTCTGTTCAACCAAAAAGAGCAGGAATGCAGACTCTCGGAAAGAATGAAAGAGGAGGGTCTTAAGCCTCCGAAAGGCAAAGAAAGGGCTCAAAATCCAGTGGCTGCTAAGAAATCCCGCTTTCTTAGCAGAAAGCAGAGAAAGCAGGATTAAAGGTCAAAGGTCTACATCAGACATTCCAGGGTCTTTGATGGAATCTGTCAGCCAGCAGCAAGCCCAAGGAGACTTCCTAACCAGGGCCAGACTAAACCAGGCTGTTTACCAAGGTCTTCTGGCGGAATAAGGGCTTTAAAATGGCCTTAGACAAAACGAACTGGATTGGGAGCTTAGGATCTTAAAACTCAACCATGGGAATCTAGAGATGTCATGACAGCACTTCACCCCCTGGTGTATGAAAATATTGATGTTTTAGAGTAAATTTTGTTTTCTTTACATGAGAAGAAACTGTATGGCATTCTGAGTGAGTGGGATGACAGGGATTTACCTGTATCTTGTTTAATAAACACTTATCCCAAATTCTAAGGATGTATTTGTTTGGTTTGCTTGGCCTGCCTTTAAAAATAAAATAAAATAACACATAAAAGGTTTCTCCCCTGTTAGGAAGGGTCATACCCCTAATTTGGAGAACAAAGTAACAGGGCCCCTCTGAACTGCCCTTGCAAATAGAGAAAATGTTAACAGATCTAGGGGTGTTTGGTATACCAGCGCCCTGGTCATAAAAAGCATCCTTAATGTTAATGTCTGAGGAAGGAGAGCAATAAGATAAGAGACCCCGACAGAGAGACAGACAGGCCAAACAAACCCTGTGCACCACGTTCTATGATGCAGAAACCAGGGGCTCAAGCTGAGTGCTCAACTGATAGGGACATTTAGCAAGTCTCCTCCTTTTCACCAAACCCCCTCCCCACTCCTCCCAGCGCTAGAGAAACAAAATCCAGGAGGGTCTCTCTATGCTGCTTGCCAGACAAATGGGAAAATGATAGAGAGGGCCTGCGCTGGTTTTCATATCAGAAACGAGAAGGGCTGACCATGAGTACTTATCCTGAGTACTACTGTTCATTTACCATTAGCAGCTAAACTTTTCGATACTGTAAGAAGTTAACAATGATCATTTAATACATATTTCATAAGTCTTTCAGCTAGTTGAAAACATGGACTGTAAAAGATGCCCCAGTTATTCCTCAAATGCCCCCCAGTGTCACAGTAAAACTTCCTGGGCCAGAAATCATTGGTACTTTGATGTGAATGCCAAAGAACCCTTGGGTTTCCTAACTCCTGCTTTTGACCACTACTTTCTCTCAGACCCAAAGCCAGTTCCTTTAGGTCCTTAGCTGTTGCTATTTGCAAGATTACTTTTGTAAAAACGCTTTAAAGAGTGACACAAGGAACGCCTCCCTCCTAGAGAGGGACAATCAGATATCATGAGGACCTCAGTGCCTCATTTTCCCTTGGAAAGTGCAACCGTCCCCAGCCCACCTCCCCACACCCACCTTGCACACACAACCATACACACACAGAAACACAGGCACACACCACGACCACCCTAAGACAGGACCTGGTACATTGCAGGCTTCTGTAATGAGTTCATTTTTGTTGTAAACCACAGCCGTCTTTCACATCAAAAGCTAAGCGAAGTCTCCAGGTAACTTCAAGTGGAAGACAAGTGACAAAAACAACTTCTTCAGCAATAAATAAGAGGGTGGGGCAACTCTGGACATGAAGATACATGACTATAAAAAATACAAACTAAAAACTGAAAAATACAACCAGTTTATTCTCTGGATAATTAAGTAAACCCCACACTTATCCCCATGCCTGAAGATAATTTATTGCTGGCACACAGTAAACTCATAAGGGTTGATTCTTGGCTTTTTACAGTTTCTAGAAGGCTCTCATAACTGTTATCACATGGAAAAGTACTTACACTCCTTTGCAAAGATAGGGCCACAAATCACAGAGGAAAAAATATATATATAACTGAGGGTCAAAAATATGTTAAAATGTCTTACTTATCCAAGTCAGACCATCAAAACTTTTCATGAGTATAAGTAACAACCAATTGATAACAAGTTAACACTGGCTTTTCTTTCTCCTACTAGCCCAATGAATCATCTCATTGCTTGCAACTTTATGGCTGAGACTTAAATTTGAGTTTAAGCCAAGTAAGGATGCACAGGCAACTTTCTGTTTCCTAATAATTCCATTCTGCCATACCCAACAGTTGCTATACCAAGCAGAAGAGGAAAGTTTCAAGTCCCATCTCGAACATTCCCGCACACGGTAGATGCACAGACGCATCTCCTACCTTCTAGAGCGGAAAGCTGCTGCTCTGCTTCCAGGTACAACTGGGAGAAGATGGGCCTGGGTACCAGGCTGTTGGAGCGCAGGGAGGCCTCGATGGAGTTGTGCAGGACCTCCTCGAACCGCGTGGTCTTCAGCTGTCCAGCGTACGAGTTTCCCATCTTCAAAAGAGACAGAGGAGTTTTCTGCTTAAAATGGCATTTCAGTTGCAGTTAAAAAGCCTGCCCCCTGAGCACGAAGCCCACAGGTAGAAGAGATCCAGGCTGCCAGGAGGGGAGGGTCCCGTGTCCCCTGCTCAGCCAAGAGGAGGAGCGGGTGGCTTTCAGTGACTGCTCCTGCCGAGCAATTACAGGAAGTTATATAAGTAACAGCTTTCCCTAAATTAGCACGCCACAGAGTCTGACACCTCTCAGGAGATTTTACTAGAAACTGGCTCTCAGTCCTCCACAGGTTTCACAGCACCACCCACCCCCCCAGCTTCTCGGAGATGTGATCCTGCTTTTGAGAGACCCCGGACAAAAACGACGCTCTCTTCTCCTTGACTTGCAGAACAGCCCTGTGCCACGTTCTGTGTGTGACGGCAGCCGACAACGCAGCGATCCATGACAACCAGTCCCTGATTTCAGGATTACTGGACCCGGCCTCCACTCACTTTCTCAGGAGGAAGGTTAGCAGATTGCCTATCACCGCCTCCTCTGCTAAAAGGCCAATTAGGAACAGTCTTGCTTTACAGTGTTTTTTACTTTATCGTAGTTTCCATCAGACAAATAATCCAGAATTGCATCTGGAAATCTGGGAATTACTGAAGACGGTGGAAGACCAGGAGGCAAATCACTGCGTCCATGCCCCAAGATAATCAATGTGATTTTTTTTTTGTAGCAGCTTAAGATCTAATTCACTTACTTACCATCCCATTTACCTGCTACACATAAAACAAACAATAAGGTCCTACTGTAAAGCATCAGGAATTATACATAACAATACCTTGTAATGAACTATAATGGAAAAGAATATGAAAAAGGACATATATATGTATAACTGAATCACTTTGCTCTACACCGGAAACTAACACAACACTGTAAATAAATTATATTTCAATTTTTTAAGGGTACAAGTAAATGGTTTTTTGTATATTCACACGTGGTACAAGCATCACACAACTGATGCTAGAACACTGTCGTCATCCCCAAAAGAAACCTCATACCCTTTAGCTGTCACCCCCAAGTCCCCGATCCTCCAGCCTTAGCCAGCCACCTGATGTCTGTAGACACATGTCAATAGAATCATATAGTATGTGGTCCTTCCTTCCATCAGGCAATGTCTGCACCCTGCCTCTGCGTTGAGCACCTATCAATACTCCACTCACTCTGATACTCTGATGTATTCTTTGCAGACTTAATTCCCTAGGAAACAAGAGGGACATGGAAGGCTGTATCCACATGGCTCTATCACTCTATGATACACTTTTTGATTTTGCTCGTCTCATTTGACATAAACATTTCCCCCAGTCCTCTGACAAAGGCTGTTAGAACCATTTTAACGGCTGCATTGCATTCCCTTGAGTGATGGTGCAGATACTTGCTCAGACATTTCTTTGGGATCAGACATACAGTTAAATCTCTATATTTAGTCCTGGCCAAAAACTGGCATTTAAATGTATGTTCCTTTCTAATGCGTTCTGTTTATTCTCTACTTCATTTAGTTTTTTGTTGAGATCGCCCTGTTTCCTTTTAGTTTAATGTGTTGTACTTTTTACCAAACTTCTTAAAATGACTACTTTATTCTCATCTTTATTTTCTGTATGACTGCTTTGATAGTGAAGATATTTAAGGCTATACGTTTTTCTCTGGGTGCCTTTTATGCTGTGACCCCTAGGTTTAGTGTAAAGAGGTCTCCTTTTCTTTCTTTTTGGATAGTTTATGATCTCCCTTTTGATTCCCTTCTGGATCCAGTAATTATGCAGAAATGTATGTTTAATTTCTAAACAGTCAAAATTTGAGAGGAAGAAGGATTAGCCTTATATTATGTATTTCTAATTTTCATTGGATAATCACAACTGTGGCCTTTAAAAATTCTTTTTAAAATTTATTAAGGGTTTCTTTTAGACAAGACAGATGCTGGATGGATTTTTACAAATCTGCTGTCATATAAGAAAAGATAAACTCTTAAAGGGATGAAAAAAGATTATTCAACTTTTCTATGCTCTCACCTAATTCATGTGTCCGTTGATTCTTAAAGTGGTATTTGACTTTAAATTGCACGAGATGGGGAGTTTTCTGGGAGTCCAACGATTAGGACTCTGCTTCCACAGCAAGGGACAAGGGTTCGATCCCTGATCAGGGAACTAAGATCCCGCAAGCTGCTTGGTGCGGCAAAAAAATATTAGAAGATGCCAGCCCCGACGTGACCTCAGGACAGTGGCTTCCTGATTCATTACAGTGACACACAGCCAGCCACACTAGTTGTGAGACTGGCTTCACACGCCAGGCACCACCTCCCAGATCACTTTGACTTAAGATGTAGGTAAGAGATTCTCTGAGTCCTCATGCTGTTGCCGAGCAACTTCAAGATGGGACCACTGGTGCCCTAAGGAGCTCTGGTTTCCCTCGTGAAGGTAAAATGGGGTGGTGTCCTCAGGCTGATTTTCTGCTTCTGTTCAAAGAAAGGTCCAGCTTTCCTTCTTCCAACTAACAGTAAAAGGAAACAATTAAACACCTCCTGCTTGTGGCAATAACTCCTGAGCACAGGTCCCCCCACCCCTCCGCCACACCTCCTAGGTCAGCCCCAGCTTACAGCCTGGGGAAATGAGCTGGTGGGAGGGTTGCTACAGGAATTAGCCCCAACAAAAAGAAAGTGCTCCTGAAAGACTGAGAGCAATGGCCGAGTCACCGAGTCACCGAACAGTCGTAAGAGGCTCCAGGGCTCTGCGTCTGCCTTTTCTGTCGACCGGCTGCATCCTTCAATCCAAGAAAGAGGGCTTCCCAGCCACATCTGGGGGCCCATGCTCACATTTTGATTCAGGGTGGTCTATGGAAAGCTGCCGCCAATTAATAACATCACGAATGGCTCCTGTTTCTATAGATCTTTGTCTGAAGAGCTTAACGCACAGAAAGCAGCTTTAAGACCGGCCCATTTTACGAGGAGGCCCTGCAGAAGCATGCTCGATGGCTGAAAGAAATGCTCAGGGCATCCAGAACCTCTCTTCCTTCCCAAGGTCTTGTGCACCTGACGCCTGATCGGCACCTTGAGCCCGGAGGACTCCAGGGGTTAATATAGAGCAATACCTGGTGTGGACAGAGCCGTGAAGAGGAAGAAAGAAAACGAACACTGACCGGCTTCCCGAGTGCCAGGCACCGGGCCTGTTCCCTCGCTCCACACGTGTGAGCGATATTATGAAGCCCAATTTAAAGATGGGGTTCTGAACCTTAGCCTCGGAGATGATAAGCAACCTGCAAGAAGTCTTGTGGAAAGAAAACAGAATTGGGGGTGGAGGGGGGGTGGGGAAGGGAGGGAGAAGGGACAGGGGAGGGGAGGAGGAAGGGAGAAACACAAAAGGGACAAAACATGAAAGAGTGCTCACACTCAAAAAAATGGAAATTTCATTTTACAACCCTAAGCACACACCAAAGCTTTAAAGTCTAGAAGCACAGAGGGAGAGAGAAACTGACTCCACTCTCAATCCAATGAGGCATTTGAAAGCCGAAGTAAGCGCTGATAACTGAGGATGGAGGAGGAGTGAGAACCATCTTACAACGTGGGGGCCCTTGCTGTTCATCCCACCATCGAGTGGTGTGGGAGCTTCCTACCCACCCCAGCAGTGCTCCAGCTCACAGACAAGACCACCCACAGTGGGCAGAGCCTGGGATCAGAAGGCAGAGTAGGCTGAGATGCAGGCCCTGCTGGGGCTCGCTCGCCTGCAAGGAACTCCCAACCATCAGTTGGGGAAGTGAGGAGTCAGGAGAGAGAAAAGCCTTGCTCAGGGCCAAACCCCAAAGCCGAACCCTCCTCCGTGTTTGTGGATCCAGGTCAACACCAGTGACCTCCAGGGCTGGGCTCTGACTGCTGCTCCCTGGGCACTGCCTCTGCAATATTTTCCTACTGCAGTGACTCCAGTCTGCAAACCAAAGGGGTTCCTTTCCCCCGGCCCCTCCACTGCCTGCCCTCCAAGGCCTGGCCCAGCTCTTCCCAATGCTGGTGGGCAATGCTCTTCAACCACAGAATCCGAAGCAGTGCCCGTCACCACGGCCTTCACCTTAATGTACAGAAGCCTGGTGTGAGATGGAGAGAGAGAAAGCAACTCACAGGGCCTCAGTATTCTCATCTGTAAAATGGGCACTCTGAAGGACTGACTGGTCATCATGGGGTATACCAGAGACAGAAAAGAAAAGTGTCTAGCAGAGCACTTGGTGGTCAGTGCAGGATCATTCCCTTCGAGCTAAATGGAACAGGCATGTGAAAAGACTAGAATTTCAGATCAGGACTTCCCTGGCAGTCCAGTGGCTAAGACTCCACACTCCCAATGCAAGGAGGCCCGGGATCAATCCCTGGTCCAGGAACAAGATCCCACAGGCCTCAACTAAAGATCTTGCATGTCACAACTAAGATCAGATGGAGCCAAATAAATTAAAAGCATGTCAGATCATATCATAAATGACAAGTGACAAAAAGGACTATAGTCCATAATTTCTACAACGTAAGGTGGGGGTGGAGGCCTTAGGGGGAATTGATGAGAATTTGAGTGGTTCAAAGGGGCTGGTACCCAAAATAGGCCAAAAGAAAGAGTAGGGTATTTTTGGCCAAAAATTGAGACCAGCAATTGAGACAGAAACAGGAGGAGACAAAGGCAAGAAAGCTCCACAAATACAGACACGCTCTAGAAAAAGAAAATGAGGGCTTTTGACAAGTAATGAAGATGAAACTATGGTGGAAAAAAACAAAAGTGAGGGTAAAAATTAGACACTGCTTTGTCGTTATTGTGGTTATTTAGTAGCTCAGTCATGGCCAACTCTTTTGCGACCCCATGGACCACAGCCTGTCAGACTCCTCTGTCCACGGGATCCTCCAGGCAAGAATACTGGAGTGTGTTGCCATGTCCTTCTCAGGAGATCTTTCTGACCCAGGGATCGAAGCTGGGTCTCCTGCTTTGGCAGGCGAGTTCTTT